CAATAGTCAAGCTCCCTGCAGACTTTTTTTTTCATCCCACTGTAGTGCAAGCAGGCACAGCCTACATGAGAGTGGCAACTCTGCTTCGATTTCAGGAGCAGTGCAGCATCATTGCCACCCCATTACAGGAAGCTGCAATTAGGTGGACTCTACTGGCAAGATCAACAGATATTGGTGGGACCAAAAAAAAACTGTAGCTGCACTTCCCATTTGGGGCAAGACGGCGGAATATGATGTCACTTACGGGCTGGTCGAGTCCCACCTGTAACATCACGTCTGGTCCAGCCCTGATTGCTGTGAAGCTCAGAGCTGAGCAGCATTGTATTTAAAGAGATTGTGCTGGCCTGCCCTCATCCTACTGAGGAAGCCTTTGGAGGTGTAGTGCTTATAGAAACAGAGTCAGGTCAGCACATTTGATTCATCACCGGTTGAGGGGAGGGCCTGCAGTGAGAAGGTTGTTTACTTTTATACTATGCACAGAACATGGCACTGCATGCATTTGTTTGTGAGTGTCCCATTTTTTTAGATTTTATTAAATTGTTTTTAAAACCTACGGAAAGTAGTATTGGTTTTATTTCTTTTGCATGAGTACTTGAGGAAGTTGTTGAACAGAAGCTCCAGTCCATGTGTCGGTGCCTGTGAGTCAGTTGGAGTATAGCCCTAGAGGAGCAAAAGTGTAATTTGACCTTGATTATTGATAAAGGTCCAGTCCAGGAGGTGAGCACATATGGTTCACAGGGTGTTATGCGTGTGACACATGGTGATCCATTGACGTGAAGACTGTGATATCTGGAATTCACTGGTGGTTGGCCACATATACATTTTTATGGACTTTTTAGTTTCATCATTTGGGACTCATTGATTTAACAGACATGGTTTTAGTTGTACTGCATCATTATTTGTATCATCTTTGGAGGGGTGGAGTGAAAAAATGCGTAATGGTGCTGAGCAGCATCTAAGATTTCACAGATTTGTGAGCATGTTGATTTGTTTGTGACCTATAAGCTTAATGTACATAAATCAGATAGTTTATAGTACTTTGCATTAACAGTGACTGCGCAATCAAGATTGTCTTTCACTTTCTACATTCTTGTAACTGCACTTATAATTAAATGTTGCAGTATATACTTTTTATATAACTGGAAATCATAGATTTACTTTAAGACAGGGATTGAATAGGGACCACAAATCACTCGTAAGGTAAACTCTGTGCCCCTTCGACCAATCAGGATGTTCTATTTGTTAGTCACAGCACCATGCAATGCAGGAAACCTTTTATTAGTTAACTGAAATTTAATCTAGATGTCAAAGGCCTATATGCAATCTGGGTCTAGGATCCTGGGTCTTCCCTAAACACAAAGGAACTAATTCGAAGACAAGTGTAAGTACTTGTAGGGCGAAAATACTGCCTCTGCTATACCACTATGCAATTTATTTGAAGTAGACATCATAAAGTGTTGTCAGCATATTACTGGAATTGGTAAAATCAGTATTGCTTTGATGTAGTCTTCAATAATCCTGTTTTTTCATGGTGTAGGCATTGCCTTCAGCAGATATGGCCAGCACTGGAAGGAACAAAGACGGTTTGCTCTTTTTACTTTGAGAAACTTTGGGATGGGGAAAAAATCTATTGAAGAGCGAGTGAAGGAGGAGGCCAGCTACCTCTGCTGTGCTTTCCAGGATGAAGAAGGTAAGACAACATACAGTGTTGTACAGCATTCCTTATTTTCTACTGAGGTAGCAATGTGATTTTTGAATAACAGATTACACCGCAGTAGGGCTAGAATATAGTGAAATTCTGTAAGGTTTATTCACACTTTCAGAAATTACCTGCGGTTTTCTTCATTCCAGAAGCTCCAGGCATCTGCCTCCACACTGCAATACTGAAGCCCTGCAAGACAGCCAATTTCAGTAAAAGGGGAACCCATGTACCCCATGCCACAGTGGTGGTGGCTACTGCATTGCAAACTAGAGCTCATGGTAGTGCTGAGCATCTTCTCTACTCCTGTCTCACTCTCACTTTTCATCTCTGCTGATTAGACACTGAGGGAGTTATTTACTAAAGCTGGAGAGTGAAAAATCAGGCTCACTTCTGCACAGAAACCAATCAGTGTCCAGGTTTTATTGCTAAAGCTTAATTGAACAAGATTAATTTAGATGATTGTTTTCTATGCAGAAGTGAGTCTGATTTTGCACTCTTCAGTTTTAGTAAATAAACCACTGAAAGTCCATTCTTGTCATGTTTTGTTGTACCAAGTTCACTTAACCATAACTTGTTAGCGAATAATCTTTTCCTCACAAAGAACCATTTCCAACATGGTGGCTTAAGGCAAGTTTCAATAAAAAAACTTCTTTTAGAATTGCTAATGCTTTAAGTGCTTACAGTGTCATAGGTGCTGGGTTAGTGTCTTAAAAAGGTGGAAACTGTCCTGTCATCCACAGAAGGCTCTTCAGAACGAAAAACAAAGTCCTTAACATGGGTAGTCACAGCACTTTTTTTAAATAGGAACTTCACTCCCCCTCCTTCTCCTCCTGTTTTTCTTTCCCCTTCTTACCTGTTTTACAGGGTTGTACTCAATTAACATTCTTGCCTATGTAGTGAATCCAGTATTGGCCTGCACCATCATCTTCTTCCTCTGTGATGTCATCGGAAGTCAGGCTGCCTCTTTCAGGTTGTTGTAGCTGGGCCCAGATGACATGCGCTACGCCCTCCCACTGGCTGATGTGAGTTTCTGATCCTGAGTATTCCTTTAATTGAGTATTCCAGGAGGGGGGTTACAGGAATGGGGACATATCATTCTTGGCTGTCAAATGGGGGTAGGGAACAAGACCATAGGGGGAAAAAATAATAAAATATTAAAAAAAAAAAAAACACACAGCCATTCTGACATTATACTGTAGAGGGAGAGGAATGCAAGGAGGTAAAGTAGCTCCCAGTAGCGAATGTCTGCTTTAAGTCTCTCTCTGGTTATACCTTAGGGTTCTCTCACTTGCCCCAAAATGGAAGCCCATTTATAAGACATGTGAAATAAAAAACACAGCGCAAGAAAATGCAAACAATATAAACAAATAATAATAAAAAAAAAAAATATAAGAAATGGTATAAAATGTCCAAATAAATATATGTGCCAAAATAAAAAGTTCCAATCCAAAGAATGAAGAAATGTTCAAATCCAATGTGCTCCAAGCTCAACAAAACGGTGATGTATACAGAAATTTCAGTGTGTTAACACCATCCGTGACATTCAACCTATACTGCGCTCACCAGATATATTGGACTCTCTAAATGTAAGAGTCAAATAAGCTTTGTGGATATTACATATCCTCCATAATAGGGATTTTCTCCACTTCAGAACAAGCTCCAACAGAGGGATCTCCCACACAGATTGATAGGTGTAAAAAAGAAAAGACCAATAGTGTAATACTGCCAAAAATTGTAATTATTAAAAATCAAATGCATCATATGCACTCACATGCTTTAACATGATAAAACGCCTTTATGCCACTTCCCATGACAAAGAAATTGCTATCTGCCAATGAAAAGCTCCTATAGTGTGTACACTGGCAGCAATGATCAAATCGGGCTCAGCAAAGATGGCTTTGGAGTGCAGCATCCAGCTTGCGCTCCACTCACCGGATGTGACATCACGGCATAGCGAAGGGAACCGGAAGTTACGCGTTTTGCTCCTCCTTCAGGGCATTAACAAAAACAGTCAGACAGCAAACCTGATTGTAATGCTGGATTCCTCTGTTTTTATTTACAAAATTGATTGTATCCCATTAGCTGGTCATGAAGGATCCAGTAGAGCATAACTGGCAGCGGATTAGACTGTCTAGCTAATGGGGAACCGATCATCCAATCATGGCTAGGGGGCGGATTGTTAAGGGAGTATTTTAGGAAGCAAGAACCGGAGTATAGTGTCTTTGATAACGCCGAAACGTGTTGATGCAACTTCCGGTTCCCTTCGCTACACCATGACGTCACATCCGGTGAGTGGAGAGCATGCTAGATGCTGCGCTCCAGAGCCATCTTGGCAGTATTACACTATTAGTCTTTTCTTTTTTACACCTATCAATCTGTGTGGGAGATCCCTCTGTTGGAGCTTGTTCTGAAGTGGTGAGAATCCCTATTATGGAGGATATGTAATATCCACAAAGCTTATTTGACTCTTACATTTAGAGAGTCCAATATATCTGGTGAGTGCAGTATACTGTATGTTGAATGTTACGGATAGTGTTAACACACTGAAATTTCTGTATACAGTACCGTTTTGTTGAGTTTGGAGCACATTGGATTTGAACATTTCTTCATTCTTTGGATTGGGACTTTTTATTTTGGCACATATAGTTATTTGGACATTTATAGGTTCTTATATTTTTTATTTTTATTATTATTTGTTTATATTATTTGCATTTTCTTGCGCTGTGTTTTTTATTTCACAATTATTGTTTGATGGTTTGTCAACAAAGAACAGCAGCATTGGATAAGGGTATAATTATTTTTTATTTTTTTGGCGCAGGTTTTTTTATTTACATTTATAACACATGCCTGTGCCTTGCATCATGGCTCCTGGTCTCACTTATTTCCCATGAAAGAGACTCTCACTTTGTAGGAAGCAGACTTGCTTCTTGGCTTCAAATTTATGATTGTTGTCCCCACTACTTTCCTATACAGGACTCCTTGATGGTAACACAACACCTGGTATTTATATGCCATGTCTGTGCCAAAATGGCTGCTGATATCGCACAAGAGATTGTGAACACAGAAGAGAGGAAAGTTGCTACACTACTACAAACCTTTTTACCCTTTGCTGTGCTTTTAATTTTTTGTTGATTACTTAGCTTGATTTTTGGAATGATGCTACCATAATCTTGATTTTTATATCTCTTCAGGGCATGCATTTGACCCATATGTATTGCTTAATAATGCAGTCAGCAATGTAATCTGCTCCATAATTTTTGGAGACCGATTTGATTATAGTGACCCATCATTCCAGAGGATGATCCACCTGCTAAAAGAGTCATTTGAACTGGAATCAAAACCTATTACTCAGGTAGTCATTTTGTATATAGTCTGTTTGCTTTTCTGATAAACACTGTATATATGAATATACAAAGCTAATAAGCCCATTGTTTACTGCCTTCATTTTTGACATGGGTAACTTGTTTTGAAATAAAACAGCTGATAGCCAATCATATTATTTAAAATATTTATAGGCTCACAATGTGTGACCCTCATCAATATATAGAAAAAAGCTTGAGTGCTGTGAAGTTCCCATGATTGAACTTATCTTATGTCCCTATTATCATGTCACAATTGTGATGGAAACTTACGGGGTGATTGAGTGAGCTGGAATCACTAGTATATATTACATAGGTGGGATCCATTCCATTTGCCATTTAAATAACTCAATGCCCAGACTGAACATTTGCAAAGTATCTGCACTTTCTTGCATATAGCATCACCATTAATTGACCTACAATATTCTGTTACATCCTTTGAACTGGATTACAAGTGATGTCATTTAAATATATGATTATATTAGATCGAAAGAATACCCCAGTAAAGGAAATCAGCACTTAGCTCTTGGTAAATGAGCTGAAGCACCACTGACTTCCATCATCCGATCATATGCAAGCAAAATTACTGTTCATTTTATTTTCCTTGCAAATGAATTGGGTATTTTTTGCAAAGTGAACTTTCACCACATTAACAAAGCTAGGGGAAAATTCCCTTGAAAAGTTAACAGCCTAGTTTCCTTTAGTAAATCAACCCCATACTGTTGGTGGTGTCAGTCTTCTTTTTTTTCCTTTTTCATATCTGACAATGTGACCATTCCTCCAAAATGGTAAATTAGGGTAGTTCACATATGAGGATCTTGTACATGATGTAAAGGGAGATAAAGGGTTTTTTTCAAGCGAATGTTTAATGGTAGAAGAGGCAGACCATGACCCTCCTACAGAGCAGTGGGGTAGAACATACTATATATAGGAAGACTGGTATACTACACAAGAAATTGGTAACCCCCTAAAAAGTTTGTTCTAGAAAAAAAAAATCACTGTTCAGATAAAGTAAAATGTACAATACTCAATTGTTTTGCTACAAGTTCAATGATGAATCCAACTACACACACACTTCTTTTTTTATGTAGAAATGCACATACATAATTTAAAAAAAATCTATTTTTCTTGGTTTAAAGTAGAACTATAGGCAGAACTTTGTTTTTATTTTGGACAGAGTTAGGGGGGGTCTTAACCCCTGTCGGTTCCTTTTTTGCCATCTTTGCCCCATTGGGGAGATTTACCTTCATTTCCTATCCCATAGCCAAAATAGGAGGTGAGTGGAAATCCTTGAAAATTAAAGGAATCCCTTGGGGATTGCCAGGCCACCAGAACTAGTGTCCTTATTAGAAGATTACCTGGCTATTACTTTTCTAGGGGCAGTCCAAATTTTTAGGATTTTCTTTTGTTTCTCTTTCATTGCTAATGGTAAACAGGGCAAATGGAGAGGAAACAGGAAAGGATGAACTTCCCTAAAGGGGGCACAGACATCAATAGAAACTGCCAGGTGTTCTAATCCCTCTCCACTCTATCCAAAACTAAATAAAGTTTTGCTTTTTAGTTATACTTTAAATCCCGACTCAGGGAAACCTAAAGATCTCTTGCAGTGGGGCTGCTCCCGCTCTGCAGTGGTAAACTGCTTTGTTCAGTCTAGGAGAAAGTTTTTGCACTTTAAGTTACTTGAACCTCTGCTCCCATGGTGCTCCCCCATACCCTCTTGGTCATCATGTCGAATGCAGGGCTATGAACCCTGCAACTTAGGCTGCTGGATCATGGTGGAGAAGATGTTGTGAGGACCAGTCTAGCAGTCAGGAGGAGTGGGTAAGCAGATCTTCTTCTTTTCTATGTCCTCTTGACCTAACAAAAAAACTAACCCTTTCAATGAGGTCATTGCCTCACTGCAAATGCTAATTTTTAAGTTTCCTGGAGTTGGGCTTTAAGTAAAATATGCATTTTGAAATATTAGTAATACACCAAAACCTAAGTCTCAGACTAATGAAAAATGAGTAAGAGCCTGTTGATTTTTTTTTTCTTCTGTAGTTCTACAAACTGTTTCCTTGGCTGATGAAGGTGCCTGGACCCCATCAGAAACTTTTCCAAGTTATAAACTCTTATCTTGGATTTTTAGAAGACATCATCCAGAAACACAGAGACACCTGGGATCCCAGCATCAGGAGAGATTTTATTGATGCATTTTTTGAAGAGATGGAAAAAGTAAGGAGGATTCCTCGTACAGTATATACACTGCTCAAAAACATTAAAGGAACCCTTTTTAATCAGAGTATGGCATCAAGTCAATTAAACTTCTGGGATATTGATCTGGTTAGTTAAGTAGCAGAGGGGGTTGTTAATCAGTTTTAGCTGCTTTGGTGTTAATTAAATTAATAACAGGTGCACTAGATGGGCAACAATGAGATGACCCCCAAAACAGGAATGGTTTTACAAGTGGAGGCCACTGACATTTTTCCCCTACTCCTCTTTTATGACTGTTTTTTTTTCACTAGTTTTGCATTTGGCTAGGGTCAGTGTCACTACTGGTAGCATGAGGCTATACCTGGAACCTACAGAGGTTGCACAGGCAGTCCAACTCCTCCAGGATGGCACATCAATATGTGCCATTGCCAGAAGGTTTGCTGTGTCTCTCAGCACAATCTCAAGAGCATGGAGGAGATTCCAGGAGATAGGCAGTTACTCTAGGAGAGCTGGACAGGGCCATAGAAGGTCCTTAACCCATTGGCAAGACCAGTATCTGCTCCTTTATGTAAGGAGGAACAGGATGTGCACTTCCAGAGTCCTACAAAATGACCTCCAGCAGGCCACTGGTGTAAATGTCTCTGTCTCTGACCATACAATGAAAAATAGACTTCATGAGGATGGCCTGAGGACCCAACGTCCTTTAGTGGGCCCTGTGCTCACTGCCTGGCACCATAGAGCTCGATTGGCATTTGCCATTGAACACCCAAATTGGCAGGTCCACCACTGTTGCCCTGTGCTTTTCAAATATGAGAGCAGGTTCACTCTGAGCACATGTAACAGACATGAAAGGGTCTGGAGAAGCCATGGAGAACATTATGCTGCCTGAAACATTGTTCAGCATAACTGTTTTGGTGGTGGGTCAGTGATGGTCTGGGGAGGCATATCCATGGAGGGACACACAGACCTCTACAGGCTAGACAATGGCACCCTGTCTGTCATTAGGTATCGGGATGAAATCCTTGGACCCATTGTCAGACCCTATGCTAGTGAAATGGTTCCTGGGTTCCTCCTGGTGCATGACAATGCCCCGTCACATGTGGCGAGAGTATGCAGGCCGTTCCTGAAGGATGAAGGAATTTATACCATTGAATGACCCCCACTCTCATCTGACCTAAATCAATAGAATACCTCTGGGATATCATGTTTCTGTCCATTCGTCGCTGCCAGGTTGCACTTCAGACTGTCCAGGAGCTTAATGATGCCCTGGCCCAGATAGGGAAGAAAATACCCCAGGACACCATCCGTCATCTTATTAGAAGCATGCCCCGATGTTAAATTGGGGGTGACCTGGTGCATTGTCGAGCAGCAAAAGAATGTTGAATGGAATATCTTTTCCCAAAAGATATTTCTCTATCTCTGGGATAGAGTGGGGGAAAAACCAGTCCTGGAAAATGGCCTGTGTAACCCAGGCTTTGGAGTTACTCTTCCACACGACAGGTAGAGAGCCCTTGGCTATGTTTTTGAGGGTTCTTGGGTTCTCTGAATGGTAAACTAAGAGGCTTTAGTTTCACATCACTGGAAGCATTACCACCAAACAGAGTAAGTCTGTCCTTTGCTGCTTTGAAACCTGGCATCACCTTTTCCTCTATATTGATGTTACTTCGTTCTGGCATCCTCTTCCAGTAAAGTCCTGTCTCATCGACGTTAAAAACCTGATGGGGTAAATAAGCACCTTCATCAATAATTTCTCTAAGTGTTTCTGGAAAATCTTGGGCAGCTATGGTATCTGTACTCTCAGCCTCACCACTTACTTTTACGTTGTGAAGGTTGGCTCTAGCCTTGAATCTGTTAAACCATCCATGGCTGGCGGTAAAAAGATGCACTGTTCACCCCGTTTTTTTTCTTTAAGTCTTCAAACAGGCTTTTAGATTTTTCTTGAATAAGCATTAAGTGGGACTCAATTCTGCATCCACACACTGAGAAATTTCTCCATCTCCTTTATCACTTTACCATGCTTTTTGGATATTATTGTTGACTTAATTGGCACAGCAGACTTCACATGTTCCATGATCTTGTCCTTGTTCTTTAGAATTGTGGCAATAGTTTAACAATTAATGTTTATAAGAATGAAAAACATCTACCATCTTTTCACCTTGGTCCAATTTCTCAATTATTTTCACTTTTCTTTCCATGGTTATTGCTTTGCACTTCCTAGCAGTCCTCTCCACATCACCACTGCTTTTTCTCTTGCTTCCAGACATCCTGGGCTCTGATTGAGCGCTGTACTGCTGTACAGTATACTATCACACTGTACAGTAAGCACACAGCAGCACAACTGTGAACATGTGCAGCTGTGACAATGTCCGGTAGACACTTGAGCTACTTCCGCAATTTGTTTCCATGTACGAATGTTCGTAATGGGAAATCCGTTCGTATCTGTGAAAGTTCACAGCTCAAATGTTCATAAGTTGGGGACTTACTGTATGAATAAAACAGAAGACCTTTTTTGGTAAATATTTATATAAATGCTATTCTTGTTTGAGCTGGATGAGAATAAGAATTCACTATACATGCATTCTTTTTATATATTCTTCTCTTTATCACCAGAATAAGGACAATCCCAACAGTACGTTCAGTGAGAGGACCCTTCTGTACATCATGGCTGATCTCTTTGTAGCTGGTACAGATACAACCTCCAACACATTACGCTGGTCTCTTTTATTGATGCTGCACCACCCTCACATCCAGGGTCAGTAGCTGCTGTCTTTACTTTAAAGGTGAACTGCATACAAGCAGTTAACTATACAACTGAAATACATAGATGAGAACTGTTTTACTTGGCAAAGGATTTGTAATGGTGTCCTGCCAGTCTTTGTATCCACAGCAGAGGAGAGCGATGCACTCCGTACTATTTCAGGCCTGGTATATAGTGAGTGCCGCAAGGACCTTTTTGATGCTCTCCTCCATATATCCATTAATGTCAAATGTCTCCAGCACACCAATGATATTCACAATGAGCCTTTTTTATCACATGTGAATAGTTAATGTTTTGGAGCCTTCAAACCCTTTCTGATGCATGTGGAGGAGCTGTTTGAACGCTTTGAAATGTAGCTTATCCATATGTGACTAAATAAAGGATAATTTTGAGTGTCTAATGTGCTGGTAATCTTCTTGTGATCCAGAGACATCTACCATACAACACAGCCAGGTTCTGGTCCTCTCTGAAGACTAGAGTAAGCAGTATAGCATGGCTGAGAGCCTGGCCAGCCCATAGGACAATCTTGGAGCAACAGCACACTAATAAGGTAATTCCTGTACTCTCCCACAATAGGCATGGTCAGAAAGAGAGCATGCAAACCAAATAGAGCCCCTATTTGGATCAGATAGCTGTGCTACCTCTCCCAGTCTAAAAGCCGGTGTGGTTGGGGTCCTTTCAGACAAGAGCACTCCGCTCCATTCAGCAGGGGATCTGTAGGTAAGTATTACTTGTTTTGTTTTTGTTTTGTTTTTTTTCTAAACAACAACAAACTTTTAATATCTCTTTTAAGGATGCTTTTATCTATTACCCATGAGTATTGTTAAAACCTCTAAAAATCAGTTTACAAAAATTATTTAACCACGTCCTGACCGTGCCATATAGTCCAAAACAGAAAAGGCACTGATCCAGGACAGTGCAGCAGGATCCATCCAACACTCCAAATGCAGAGGTGCTTTTCACCTGGCTGTCTTTTATCTGTGTGCTAAATGTTGTGAGCTTTTTCTAATAAATCAACACATTCCAGCAGAATGTGTAGCCATTTCCTCCATAGTCGAAACATGGCCACATCGCGTTTCTTTAGTTTTGGGAGGGCGTCTATAGACATCCTTGACATACCAGGTGGGAATTTTGGGATTGCAGAGCAGATGGGTTAAAGAGCCCGTGTGTAACAAGATATTATATACAGTAACCTATCACGTTGTCCCACATTTACAGAAGTAAGGTTACTGAAGGGGGATGAAAAGGTGTCCTATAGGCTGGGAGAATCTAGGATGAGTGGAATGAATTTGGTATTTTACTCTATGGACCCCATAATTTAGTACGAATGTGGGAAAACAATCGACATATTACAGCTACTCTGTAATAGTCACATAAACAGAAAGGCAAAGCTGACTTACTGCATGATTAAAGTGTCATGTCTTAATCGGTTTTGGGACTGTGGTCAAAGATAGTGAAATAGAGTGGAACGAAGAGTATGAAAAAAAGGTAACAGGGACACTTAATAGGTAGAATCTGAAAGAAGTAACAGAAACATAGCAGGATGTCCATCTTGTAAAAAAGACATTCTGCCATAGTGGGAATAATAGCCTTTGGCCAATTCCTGTCTACATGCATGTACTCTACAATAGCTGCAAGGCAGTTCTTGGGGCAGGCTTCCTGATGAGAACAATAGACCATTCCAGTTTCTTTTGGAAGCCCATGTGACAGAGTGGCAACACCGGAGAACAACTGGCAGACAGGGACAGACGGGTGCTATCATAAAGTGTATGTCATTGTCAGGCCAAGAACAGGTGCATTAGACAGTAAGTGAGGGAAACGGCGACAAAGACAAAAATAAAAATCCGACAAGGGTTCTAGCCTCCTTCTATTCTACTTAAGAAACACATTTTTATTTCTACCTTTGTCACTGCTTGGGATGGCCCCCACACTCCCTGGCTGGTAACATATTGTCAGTGGTACAGGAATTGAGAGTAAATTCTTCTAGCAGAGCCTAGGATAACAGTAACAACCCTAAAATTCTAACCCTTCTTTAAGCCATCCAAAACTAACAAAAAAGGTTTAATTAATTGACATACTGTCAGGAATGGACTGGCCAGCAATAGTGGGACTCACCTGCCTTGTGAGCTGCAGTACCAGGGCTGGCCAGCGGGTGCTCCCAGCAATCAGAGACTCAACCTTGCAGCCAGTCAAACACCTGGAACTAATTATACTGGTGTATTTAAGGGACATTCAGACCTGAAGACTCGGCCTTGGTGTTGTGTGTTTTTCCTGGGCCCTGTATCCTGCATCCTGCATCCTGCTCCTGTTCCTGTTCCTGTCTTGTTGCTGACCCGGCTTGATTCTGACCTCTGCTGACTTCTCCTGTTCTGATCCCTGGCTTGTGACCCCGACCATTCTCTGCCTGACCCCCTGCGTTTCCCTGCGTCAGTCACACACCTCTGGTCATACCCGGGAGCCCTGACATTACACCAAGGCCAATCCTGACCAGAAGTGGCTGCACAGGGAAGCCATCTTGGTTTGTTGATGGGAAGGATGGATCTGGATGAGGTTGCGTATTTATATCTGCTAGTGTTTGATGACAGGGAGTATGCTTATCAAACTCTGAAGGAGTATACCCGGGATGAACTGCTAGAATGTATACGGCTCGCTCATGTTCTAGTAGATCAGGGCACAGAGTTCTCTGAGGTGCAGCCATTGATTGAGGTTTGTGCTGAGTTGGTTTCATCTGGTTCCCCCGAATGCAGGGATGAATTTTTGCCACCATTTAGTGCAGACCAGGTAGAGTCCCTGGTATGGTTATTAGAGGATGATGTGGGTTACTTTCTGGAGCGTTATTCCACATGTTCACCACAGGTACTAAGAGATTGTATAAACGCAGTGCAGTCTTTGGTCAGACAGGCTTTGTGTAAGCTCAGCTTTGTTCAACCCATACTGCAGACATGGACAGATTTGTTACACCCAGCCTCAGTCAGCTTACAAAGACCCAGTCCTGCTTCTAATCTATCTCCTCAAAGCTCTACTCCTGTATTCCCAACAGCTCCTCCAGTTACAGCCCAGTATACTTGGCTATCTACCGCATGTCAGTACCCTGTTCCCACTCGCTGCACCTATCCTGCCTTTAACCCTGTAAAGAAGCCCTCTGTAGCGACTGTTCCTTCCCCTGTTCCATCCTTCAGCTCTTCTCTGTCTCCAGCTGCTCCATTCATTTGCAGACCTGCGTTTACTTGCAGTGCCCCAGTAGTTAAAACCAGAAAAAAGCGAAAATTCTTTCCAACCAGTACCATCCTGCCAGTATCCAAACCGGTGAGCCTACCGTCTGAGAACCTGCCTTCCGTGGTTCATCCTGATGCCTCTCTTCAGCCTGATGCCTGTACTCAGCCTGAAGCCTCTCTTCAGCCTGAAGCCTCTCTTCAGCCTGAAGCCTCTACTCAGCCTGAAGCCTCTACTCAGCCTGAAGCCTCTACTCAGCCTGAAGCCTCTACTCAGCCTGAAGCCTCTACTCAGCCGGATGCTTCTACCCAGCATAATGAACTGATCCAGCCTGATGATCCTATTAGGCCAGTTGACTCGATGCCCGCTGTTGATCCAGATGATCCGGTACCTGATCCGGTGCCCGCTGTCGTGCCAATTGACTCAGAGCCCGCTGTCGTACCTGGTGACTCGGTGCCCACTGCCTTGCCAGATGACGCGGTGCCCGCTGGCGAGCCAAAGGACCTGATGCCTGGTGACCCAGTGCCTGCTGTCATACCTGGTGACCCGATGCCCGCTGTCGAGCCAGACGATCCAATGCCAGACGACTCGGTGCCCGCAGTCTTGCCAGACGACTCGGTGCCCGCAGTCTTGCCAGACGACTCGGTGCCCGCAGTCTTGCCAGACGACCCGGTGCCCGCAGTCTTGCCAGACGACCCGGTGCCCTCCAGTCTTGCCAGACGACCCGGTGCCCGCAGTCTTGCCAGACGACTCGGTGCCCGCAGTCTTGCCAGACGACTCGATGCCCGCAGTCTTGCCAGACGACCCGGTGCCCGCAGTCTTGCCAGACGACTCGATGCCCGCAGTCTTGCCAGACGACTCGGTGCCCGCAGTCTTGCCAGACGACTCGGTGCCCGCAGTCTTGCCAGACGACTCGGTGCCCGCAGTTCCGCCAGTTGACTCGGTGCCCGCAGTTCCGCCAGTTGACTCGGTGCCCGCAGTGTTGCCAGACGACTCGGTGCCCGCAGTGTTGCCAGACGACTCGGTGCCCGCAGTGTTGCGAGACGACTCGGTGCCCGCAGTGTTGCCAGACGACTCGGTGCCCGCAGTGTTGCCAGACGACTCGGTGTCCGCCTGGGGGCCCGAGACCTGTCGCTCCGCCTGGGGGCCCGATGCCTGTCGCCCCGCCTGGGGGCCCGATGCCCGTCGCCCCTCCTGGGGGCCCGATGCCCGTCGCCCCGCCTGGGGGCCCGATGCCTGTTGCCCCGCCTGGGGGCCCAATGCCTGTCGCCCCTCCTGGGGGCCCGGCGCCCGCCGCTCCGCTTGGGGGCCCGGTGCCTGCTGCTTCACCTGGTAATCCGATGTGCCTCTGCCCGGAGTCCAGCCCGATGTGCCTCTGCCCGGAGTCCAGCCCGATGTGCCTCTGCCCGGAGTCCAGCCCGATGTGCCTCTGCCCGGAGTCCAGCCCGATGTGCCTCTGCCCGGAGTCCAGCCCGATGTGCCTCTGCCCGGAGTCCAGCCCGATGTGCCTCTGCCCGGAGTCCAGCCCGATGTGCCTCTGCCCGATGTGCCTCTGCCCGGTGTGCCTCTGCCCGGTGTGCCACTGCCCGGAGTCCTGCCCGGTGTGCCAGTCTTTGATATCCCGCCAGTTACCAGACCCGGGCGGTGGAACATTTCGCCCAGCTAGGACTGTTTGGAGCGTCCTGAGGCCGCTCCTTGAGGGGGGGGTACTGTCAGGAATGGACTGGCCAGCAATAGTGGGACTCACCTGCCTTGTGAGCTGCAGTACCAGGGCTGGCCAGCGGGTGCTCCCAGCAATCAGAGACTCAACCTTGCAGCCAGTCAAACACCTGGAACTAATTATACTGGTGTATTTAAGGGACATTCAGACCTGAAGACTCAGCCTTGGTGTTGTGTTTTTCCTGGGCCCTGTATCCTGCATCCTGCATCCTGCTCCTGCTCCTGTTCCTGTCTTGTTGCTGACCCGGCTTGATTCTGACCTCTGCTGACTTCTCCTGTTCTGATCCCTGGCTTGTGACCCCGACCATTCTCTGCTTGACCCCCTGTACCTACCTGCCTGTTAGTTGCTGTACCCTGCTCGTGACCTGACTATTCTCCGCTTGCTCCCCCTGTACCTATCTACCCGATTGATATTGGCCCGGCCTGCCTGACGACGCTTGCACTGTATGTACTGTTATCTGTGGGTGGTTTGGTTCGTTTGCACTGTGTTATGTTTTAGTATTGCACTGCGTTTATGTTTGTATTGTTAGTGTTAATAAATTGTTTATAACTTATCGGAAGTCTGCGTTTCCCTGCGTCAGTCACACACCTCTGGTCATACCCGGGAGCCCTGACACATACACTTTAAAATACCTGGTGATCCTGCAATGGCAATCCTTGTTTGGCTACTTTCTGTTTGGGGTTATAAATCAAAGCCAAATAATTAAATAGACTGAAAAAGACTTTTAAAATTTACAATAGCCTTTGAAGCTTTAGAATTTAGAATTTTACTGTTTGGAGTTCATATATATTTTAAGGTCAGTCTTTAAAGAAGGATCATTTTTTTATGGTATTCAGTTCCTGATGGGAGTCCATGTAATACTTTGCTCCATCTTCCTAGGTACCCTGTACGCTAGCTGCAACGAAGTCCTGATGGCAATAGGGATTGGGGGGGGGGGGTAATTAAGGAATCAAGTACAAATGCTAATATTTATGTAATTTTCTTTTGAAACAGAGAAGATTCATAAAGAAATAGACGATGTGATTGGAAGAGATAGGTTGCCTACAATAGAAGACCAATCCAATATGCCATATACCAATGCTGTCGTTCATGAGGTCCAGCGCTATGGAAATATCCTGCCTATGGCTCTGCTCCATATGACATATAGAGACACCAACATCCAAGGTTTTGAAATACCTGAGGTAAAGACTTTGTCTGTGAAGGTGAATGGAAAACCTGCAGGTTGTTTCATTTGATACATGTTAGCCATGTTATCCAGTAGTAGAACAATCAGTTTTAAAGTGTAGAAAAAGTTTGAAATTTTTTCAGATGGACTGTACATACATTATTTTATTTACATCGATTTTCTTCTGTCATTTAAAGAGACCATACAGAAGTTAAACCTGTTAATTTTCTAAAGGAATTAAACGCAGAAACAGTTTTCTGTTGATACTTTTTTAAAGTAACAAATCATAATGAGTAAATCATAACGAGGGAGGGAACCCATGTCCTGTAACATACTCCAAGAAAATTATTTTACAGGTAAGTAAAAAATCCTGTTTTCTTAATTGTACATTGCAGGAAACAGGATCTTAGTCTTAGAGGATGTCCAAAATCTACACAACTGAGGGTTAGGTAACACCGCAACAAAGGGCTCACAAAACAAATGGGAAACGGGAAACAGGTTTTGAAACTCAGAGCAGCTTGAAGCATCCTATGCCAGAAAGTCACATCAGGAGAGGCCTGAACGTGAGAACACAAGACCAGGTGTCAGCCTTGCAAATCTGAGAAGCAGATGCTTGCTGCTGAAAAGCTGATGAAGTACTGGCAGATCTGGTAGAGTAACAGAGGGCCCTTCTCCTTCTGACTTCAATAGTCAAATGAGAGGCAAGATATCCCCTACATGAACCCTCTGGAATGACAAAGCGTTAATCCAGTTGACTAAAATAAGCCATAGCTGAGAGGTAAACTTGCATCCAGACATTGGAGAGAAATCTCCTTGGAAGGTTTTGGAGTAGGGAGCAGAATAAAAAAAACCCAAAATGTTCTTTTGTTTGCCAGTGTCCAATCACCTGAAGGTAGCTGCAAAACCCAATCATCTAAGACTAAGATCCTGTGTTCTGTAATGTATTCCAAGAAAATTATTTTACAGGTGGGTCAAAAATCCTATTATCTCACCTACCTGCTTCAAGAGTACTTATATCCACTGGTTGATACACCAACCTTTTTAACCTCATGCTGCCCACCCACAGTCATTCTACTGTGGGTGAGCGGCACAGGCAGGCTGGACAACGTAGCTGTACGTCGACCAGCCTGCTTCCAGGTTTGGAGCACGCACGCTGAAACCTGGTGATTGGACTCTGTTCATAGCACAGCGATCTGGCTGTTTTTTTCTCCCTGCAAAGCAGGGAGAACAAACAGCCAAATCCAAATCCATTAGTAAAGCAGCAAATATTACACTTGTTAGGCTCACAGTTAACCCCTTAATTGTCCCTTGATTGTCCCTTGATGTTAACCCCTTCTCTTCCCCTTGTCAGAGTATCTCCCAGCAAGTAGCTGATCACTTCCATTACCAGTATAGCGTCTATAACTGTGTAAATTCCAGTGTGTGGGTGTGGAGGTCTGTATGCATCATGTACGTGTGTGTATGTGTGTATATATATATATATATATATATATATATATATATATATATATATATATCATCCTTCTCAGAGACCAATTAACATACACTATTGATTTTTTTTTTTAAACCAAAAATGTAGCAATATATGTACATTTTGGCCTAAATTTATAAAGACATTTTGATTTATTTTGTGTCTGATATGTTTTAAAATGAAGTAGAACATTTTTTTTTTTTTTTTTTTAATCTCAGTAGTTTTTTGTTTAAATAATAAAAAAACCCAGTGGTGACCAAAAACTACCAAAAAAGAGCTCCATATGCGTGAAAAAAAAAATTATTTATTTTGGTGACAGTGTTGCATGACCAAGCAATTGCCAGTTAAAGCAGCGCAGTGCTGAATAGCAACAAAATGGTCTGGTTACAAAGAGGGTAAAATTTTCCAGAGGTCAAGTGGTTTACAAGACAATTGCACATATATTCAGTGTTGAGGCAGTCATCTAATGCCCAGGGCAAAGATGGCAAATTGTGCCCCCCCCCTCCCTGTCTCAATGTGTACTTACAGTTCACACCGGAATCTCAGCATGGTACCCTCTGGGAATGGAGGCAGATCTATCTTTCCCTCTCTGATTATGTGATATGTCAAGGGGAGACAGGAAGAAGGGCAGCCTGCACCCCCACTCCCTAGTGGCACTGCGCTGAAACTGAGGTGCGCAGTTCATTGTACAAGGTGTACAGGCAGAATGACATTTATTGTAGAAGAGACATAGTATGCCTCCGCTGCATTAACAATCCTGCCTGTTTTCCATTTTTTTCCCTTAAAGTCATTTCACTAAAAAGGCAAATAAAAAAACTATTTAAAAAATCTGTGCGTCTATATTTTAAAATCAAAGCTGTTAGCTAAAAAGCACAAATGATATAGACTACAAAACAAAATAAAGAGCTTAAACACTTAAATAAGGCCTGGTCACACAGGGTGTACTACAGTGTACACCGTAGAAGGACTGTGTTTACTTGTATGGGAATGTACAGGTGTCGTGTGCAGTCCCATTGATTGCAGCTGGAATGCAGTGGCTGTACGGACACAGCTGCCTGCTCCCAAATTGATATGGGTGCTGCTGCATGGCCCCAAATGAAGACAGCAGTATGCCTTGTATTAATGAGGACTAATAACAAAATGCTTTGTATTAAAGGACATCATGATTAACCACTTGCTTATTTACCCTCTTCCTGCCCAGGCCAATTTTCAGCTTTCAGTGCTGTTGCACTTTGAATGACAACTGTGCGGTCATGCAACATTGTACCCATATGAAATTTTTATAATTTTTTTCACACAAATAGAAATTTCTTTTTGGTGGTATTTAATCACCACTGGGTAATTTTTTGCTAAACGAACTAAAAAGGTCTGAAACATTTTCTGTAATTTCTATTATAACATTTTGCAAATGGGTAATTTTTTCTCCTTCACTGATGTGCATGGATGAGGCTGCACTAATAGGCTGCACTGATGGGGCACTGGTGAGGCGGCACTGATTGGCATTGTCAGCACTGATGGGCACTGTTGGGGTTGCACTAATATTTAGTGCCCTGTCAGTGTAGACGTCTCATTTCACATTTGCTGGTCATCGGCAGTACTATTCTTATGCTGTGGCAGCATGAGGAAAGTACTGCCAATAACCAGCAAGTGTGTTTACATCATGATCAGCTGTGATTGGTCACAGCTGATCATGTGGCATAGGGCCACTGTGATTGGCCCTTTACTGTGATGTGTGATCAGCTGTGTCCATAGGACAAAGTGATAACAGAGAGTGCCGGGTGCGCGCCGTAGCAGGCGTGGCTCTGGGAGGACATCACATGATGCTCCCCAGAACTGGACACCGTGCTATAGCCATCATTCGGCTATAGAGTGGTCAGCAAGTGGTTAATAAAGGTAATAAAGTGCATTTTTAAATATTGTCAAGTACAACTGGATTAGCAATAAGAGCTTGTTTACACTTCACGCAATCTGTGTTTGGATTGCTTTTTAGAGGTGATTGCCAAGCAATAAGGAGGTGATATATCACCTCCTCACCACTGTTTTAACCCCCTAAATGCTACACTACTGTATTGCAAATGCAGGCATTCCCCACAGTTGCGCAGAGGCTGCAGCATGGCCCCATTCACTTGATTGGGTTGCATTTGGCAGGTGGATGTGCACGCAGAAAGTGGCAGAGAGTATAATTCCTATTAATGCATCCTCAAATCAAAGTATTGCAGCCATGGCATTGGTACACCCCCAGCTCCTGCCTCTACAGCTTAAGGGGAAGCGGAAGGGGGCCCCACCTGCCAGTCCACCCTCCACCTCTAATGCTTTAGTAGTCCTTCATCTATCCAGGTCTAATCCCAGCATCTTTTGACAGCTTGTGTCCCCGTCAGTGGTCTGCCCACCACCTATCAGACCTGTAGCCCAAAGTCTTGGGAAGTGCTACAGGTGGTGAGCAGGAACACAAGCTGCCAAAAGATGCCGGGATTAGACTCTGACGGATGAAAGAATACAGAAGCATTAGAGGTGGAGGGTGGACCGGCAGGCAGGGACACAAGCCATTAGATACCAGGACTAGACCTGGACAGATGAAAGAATACTGAAGCATTACTAGTGGTGGGTGGGGAAAGATAACAGCAACTATAGAGGGAGCACTGGGGCGACAACTGTGCCTGTCAGAGGGATGCAGGAGGAGCTGAAGCTCCCGTGTGCTCCTCAACACTGTGCCTGGGGCATGTACCCTTGCCCCCCCCCCCTCTTGTCTGGCCCTGCTTATATTCATGTCAGGCCCTGCTTTGAAGAAGCCTACAATCTGAAGTTCCTATCTCACATGCATGTAATAATAGGGCCAATTTACCTACCACTAAACCACTGTGTTACATGAGCTCAATTTCAAAACACGCCTTCCAACCCTTTACTTGTTAAACAGGTAGAGAAAGCAATACTGGCACCTTTTCTTGGCACTTAATTTTGCTGACCAAAAGAAAAAAAGGCTGACTCGCACACAGGGGCGGACTGACAACTTATGGGGCCCCCGGGCAATAGGGGATCATGGGGCCCCTGTGTCCTTGCCCAAACTCAAAAAAGCCTATGAAAAAGGTACCAGGGGCATCCCATGAGGCCCCCTACTGACCCCGGGCCCTCGGGCAGTGCCCGAGTTTCCAAATGGTCAGTCCGCCCCTGCTCGCACAGTGTTTGTGCATTATGGCCTATTAAAACAGCTCACACACTGCCTTGCCCTTCACTTCATTGATTTTCACAAGTGTATCTGACATACTGCACTAAATTTTTTTTTTTGTAGAAAACAAACCTGTCTTGCTTGTTTCTGCAAAGTTTGGACTATTAAACTTGGATACACTGAACTACCATCTTGATGCTGTTTTTTTTTTTCTCTGACACGTCTGACAAAATACACCTGAATTTCTATTGTAGCAAAACACCTGCTTTATTTGTGTTTCCACATTTTAGCCTATTCTACCTGGTCACATTTAAAAATATATTACAATGGCATAAGGTAGAACATGCATATGACAATCTAATTGCATAGACAAGACCAGAGCTCTGTGTTTAATTCAAGCTATTATTTTAGATGGAATTACAATAAATCTATTTTTACTAATCTTTTGACCTTTTTAATATACCTTTGGATACAAACTCTCTTGTTGCTGCATTAAAGTCCCAAGGGAGTTGCATTTGTTGTCTTCCAATATTGTTCCGCAGGGATATGAGCCAAATACCCTCAGCAAACTTGATTCACGAGATTTCTGAGAGGAGAAAAGGAAGGGTGACAAAATACTATCCAAAGTAGGAGCTCTCCTACTAGAAAAATGACATCCATTAACAGCATATAATGGGCAATAGGTACATGTCGTTTGCCGAAGATTACCAAATTGTTAAAATCATTAAACAACATCTACCCATTTTACAGTATATACTGTTGCTGCTATATGCCGAAACACGTTGCTGAAGTCAACGAGTTGCGGGCTATTACTTTTGGAATTACAACATTTTGCTACATACCTGTACATGACATACACCAAGTTCAAAGGGAGTGCAATATGGTTACAAAGAATTCAGTCCGGTTAATTTCCACATTATTTCACCAGGACCACTAGTTTTTAACCCACTGGATCCATCTATGGTAACAGAGAACCTGATCCTCATCCCTAATCACAAGTGCAGACATGGGTATTTACTAAAATGATACAAATAAACCTATTCATGAATTTATTTTTCTTTGCTGTATACTTTAGGGCACCACTATCATACCCAACTTGACATCTGTTTTAAAAGATGGCACTATTTGGAAGAAACCACATCAGTTCTACCCAGAGCACTTCCTAGATTCAGAAGGAAAGTTTGTGAAAAGAGAGGCATTCATTCCATTTTCTGCAGGTACAGTAAGCTTATGGTCATTAGCAAATATGGTAAAGAGTTGGTCCACCTGAAAGTAATTTTTAAGTTATAGGTTGAGCCTTTTGGGCTGCATCAGCCTTGTTGGATATTCCAAAACTCTAAAGCCCCTGTCTACCTGGGATTTCTGAGTAAAAAGATACAATATTCTGCTGCAGGCACGGCTCCTTGGTAATTCCCTGACTCAGGGAGCTGGCTCGCAGCAATTGCTGACTGCTCTTCAAACTCCACACTCTAACTTTCAAGGTCTTCAGTCCATTTTTGTTTTACTCTCCATAGTACAGTCCACTAATGAGTTTCTCTTGAGTAAAAACATGTTAGTGGTTGTACTTACCAGATGGAATTGTCTGTAGGATGGAGAGTTTAAATAAACTGGACTGAAGGCTTTTATATGGTGAGCAGTGTAATTTTCCTTTAGAGAACGTGGAGTAGGCTTTGCAGGTGTTCCTTACCATATTTGTGTATTCCAGCTATTGTGTTGCATTCTTCATAATATAAAAGAAAAATACAACAGGTAGCGTAGAAGCTCCTTATACTGGCTGCAGCAGGTGTACAGACACAGGAATTTAACTATAGCATTCTCAGGTATGGTCACCAAAAGATATAAAGAATGGTCAGGTGGATTAACCCTCCAGCATTGCAGATGACCTGTTAATAATAATGCTCAGTACTCTTGTGTTTTGAAAAAATATGGAAACAGTAATCAGGGCTCATTTTAATGAGGCAGATCAACATAAATTTACATTAACAAAGATTGCTAAATGTTAGCACTGGGCTACTCTCCATAAACCTGTGTATGGCATTGGCTTCAACTTCCATTTGATTTTCGTAACAGTGCAGGGACTCTTCATCAGGCAAGTGCTGATAAAGGGTCCCTGCACCATCATAAAATGTTGCTTTTCTATGTGACCATGCAATGGAGAGCGCTTTGCTTTTTTAAACAAGCTTGTTGGTGTTTTGGCGATATATATTTTATCCATAATATACACCATGAGCAGTCAGAAGTCATTACGGAACCCTTTTTAACCACATGGTTGATTTCAGTATGGTGTGTAAGAGGGATATACTTCTCCTTTACAGGTACAACAACACACCAGAAGCACAGACATAGCCTTTACAAGGCAGGTGAAGACTCAGTGCAGCAAACCCAAAGCAACAATTGCAGCCATTCTATTTTTTCGATAGAACTGTTATTCATCATAGTTTATTGAGTAACTTTAGGCAACAATAAATCAGTCAGTAATCAGTATTAATGTCTAGAAAACATTGTAGCATCACTAATTTTAAAATAACTGAAGGCATTTTGTTTCTTTATAGTTTTTATATAGAATGGAGAGTTCAAGTTTTTGGGTTGTTGCCAGAACAGGAATGGAGGGGAAATCTTCCAATGGTGACACTAGATCTAGTGACCCGGTAACAACCAGGGATTCCCTTACTTTGGAGGGATTTCCTCTGAATTCCTGCATTAGCTATTGGAAACGAAGTGAAGGAAAATACAGTCCCCCCCAATGGGACACAGGTGGCAAAAAAATGGCTGGCTAAAACCCTCACTAAAATGGGAAAAAGCCTTTATTTTTTATTTTTTAATTCTTTAATTTCAGGTTTTCCAAAGAAAACAAATGCCACCAACAAACAGTAGTTCACAAACCATCACAGGAGTTAAAGTAAATGACAGCATGAAAAGTTCAGTAAAGAATAGTGCATGTAGAGATCCTTTAGTTGACAACACAAGCAAACCATGCATGCCTGAGTACATAATATTGCTTGTGGGTCAAACATATCACAAAGCCTGTAATTGGGGGCCAAGTCTGGAAATGCAAAAGGAAAACTGTAATCTAATCTGAGGTTGAACCTACATTTGACCTCAACGTAAAAGTGGACCTTTCTTGTAACAAATTCCTTAGAGTAGATCCATATAAGGCCAAGTCTGGCAGAGTGCCTAGGATAGAGGGGTCCCTACATGGAGGGACCAACTATTAGTGCATTATTGTAACTGGTGTTCTGTACCCAGAAGGTGTAGACTTAGTATGATAAAAAACAGTAAAGTAGTACCACAGTAAAAAAAAAGGATGGGGAGTAGGAGTCCTGACTGTCCCCAAAATGTGTAGATAAAGTGGGTTTGAAAAAAAAATAAATAAAATTGTAATTCAGTTGCCCCCATTTATGCTGCTATAAGATCCTGATATTCTGTTCTGAATGCAAAGTTAATCCAATAAAACCCAATTGTATGGAATTGCTCCTTTATGATTCAATGTTGCTATGAGATCTTCCATTGTTTTGATCTTAATTTTGTTAAACCCCAGGCTGATCATGGGTGACTATGTCTTTTTCCAATATAGTGGGATGCATCCTTTTGTAGGATTCAATAAATGTATTAAAAGAATTGTTTTATAGCATTTCATGGCCAGAGGTATAAAATGGAGGAGAAAAGCTGCACGGCCATCTCCTAATTTAACATTCTTGAGTTTGAAAGAGACCTGTCCTTCCATCCCAGAAGACCCACAGCACCCAACACGACCAAAAAATGTGTATTATGGACTTCCTGTTGTTGGCACCTCCAACAGAGGGGGTGAGCATTGTGGAAAATGATACGTAGGGTCTCGGGAAACCTACACCAGTGGGATAGGACTTTAAATTCTGTTTCTTGAATGTTGAAAGAGATGGAAGCCTTATGTGTTAAGGATATCATCTTTGCTTTTATTGTTCAAAAAGTGCAACCTAAATCTTTTTTTCCATTTGGTGAGATATGGCATAAAGTTATCAGGGGGACAGGACAATAACTAACAGGACCTGGAAAGACCATGATGTAAGGGAGTAGGATCAGGGCATAGTGAAAATTGGTCAGGGGAGGATACTCACATCCTCTGCCAAATGATTGAATAAGGAAGTGTCGGATCATTGTCGCCCTTTGACAATGACAAAGGCAGTTCCATCAAGGTCTGTTGGAAGATTGGTGTAGTTCACCCTCCTCTCCACCTTCATTCATATTATTCTTTCCCAAAATGCAAAGCATTCTATAAATAAAGGAATGGCAGATGAATGACAGGATCCACCATCTCCAATTACTTTACATCCTGGAAAAGAAAACTACATGTTTTATGAATAAAGAATGCGCACACTAGGGGAGGGTGAGAGGTGCAACTCATTCAGGTTACATGTGGCTGATGACATTCCGTAGGGCTGACCCCAGCAGTATCAGGTGATCAGCACTGTGAGGAGGACCTGGTGGCAGTGGGGAGAAGATTTCTAGACTATGCAGGAGCAAGACTGCCATGAGGCATACTTAATTACAGGTAAGTTATGTCCCTGATGCTGGATATTAAAAAAACACTCAAACTTCTTTAGTTGCAGTCTATGTCCTTGCTTGGTAGATTCATCCTCAACCATTGTTACTGAGACAGAAAGTGATGGGAAACTTGTCCCTAAACTTGTCTCCAGAACTGGAGGTGGGGGTAAATTTTGCAATGGGATAACTAATCCTATGTCAACTATCGAAGAGGAAAATTCCATTAATTTTGGAGATTTCTTCTAACTTCCTGTTACTTCTTTGTAGTAGGAAGTGAAGGTAAATCTTCCCAAAGGGTCATAGGCCACAAAAAACTTGATTGAGGGTCTATTCATACTTTATTCAAAACTAAAACAAAATCACATTTTAGCTATACCTATGATTTTAATTTGACTTTTATAAAATTTGAGTGCAGTTATATTTTGCAGGCTGCCCCTTTTCTTCACAAAATATTCTTGTTTTAAATATATTTTTTTAATGCAGATCTCAGGCTTCAGCTGTGAACTGTTATTCTTGTTTTGTTTTGTAGGGCGTCGCATATGTGTTGGGGAGCAACTGGCAAGAATGGACCTTTTTATATTCTTTACATCTTTGCTGCAGCGTTTTGAATTCCACATTCCGTATAAACAGCCACCCCCTCGTCTTGATCCCTTAATTATGTTCAACCTTAGCCCACACCCCTTCCAAATCTTTCTCCAAGTACGCTGATGTCGAAGGAATGGTTTGTGGGTGATGGAGGAAAGCTGGCTGTTGTACCTTTTTTTTATAGCACACAATTGTCTTTTTTTTCTATTGTATTGGTTGATACATACTGAGACTTACTGATATTTTTTTTTTTTATAACTGAAGCCCTCTGTATGTACAGCTATTTCACGCTTGGCCTATTGTGTATCCGCAACAGCGGTCCCCATATTTCTTTACGGAAAGGTTTACTTTAAATGGTCTCCTCAACGCTGTTTAGAGAAGAATTAATCCATTTGGTACTTTTGTCTCATCTTTCTAGGTGCCCAGTAACAGGTGCCTTTGGTGTTGAACAACTATTTCTGGCTCTGTGTACTTGTCTGAGGCAAGCACCAGAATGAGAAATATAGAGGGAGGTGAGGAGTGTTGGCCTATGGCGCTTCTGCATTCCTTATGATGGTGCTTGCCTTGGGCAAATGCTAGGACCTGGAGACAAGTGTTTATTAGCAAAACAGCTGACTCCTTCCTGGCTGCAGTGTCTCATGGCTTGACTCCTTGTTATTAAAAAACATCTTCTATATACAGTTTCTATTTACATATGCACATGGGAATCATTTTGTTTCATGGCATCCAAACCCTGTTTCCCCCTGCTTTGCAGTGCTAAAAACAGTTGTTGTGCTTTTCTGTTCATATCTTCCAATGCAAGTTCTTGCTCATACTTAGACCAATGTAGAAAAGTGTCTTGATACCATAGTGGAGCTGGACTTACCAACAGGTGAGTAAACAAGAAAGAAAATCACAGGTCCCTGAGACAATACTATGATGGGGACCCCTTAAGTGACTTGTGGCTTATAATGCACTCTTACTTTTTGCCCTTGACTTGGTGGTCATGAGATAGTGATGTACAGTCTACTTTTTTTGCACCCCAGATATCAGAAATTGGAAGACTATAATTCATTCCTATAAGATTCAATTTTAATCCCATAGGAAGACTATAATGCATTCCTATAAGATTTTATTTTAACCCCATAATTTAAGGGCCAGCATAGCTGAACAGAAAAGTTGTAACCCGGCAATATAAACTGACAATTCCATGGTTCACATGTGCAAGCTGGATTACTGATAGACAAAGCTTCCTATTGCTGAGGCTGCCTGCCTAAGAGAAAAAATGTTTTGTAGCTAGCCAGAATGTAGGGGTTCAATGTGCAGAAAAGCAGTTTGCATTTCTTCCTGAGACAGTTGTCCAACTTTTTACAGTAAAGCAGTTTGGTTTAGTAAAGCAAAAATGTTTAGTTACAACTTCCTCCCTAGCTCTAGTTACACCTCTTCCCCCTCCCCTCCCGCAGATGTGCCAGCCTATATTCGTTTATTGGTTGTTTAACAAGTTTCTGAGTACAATTTCTGATAAGCATACCTTCTAACCTTCTGTGATGGGAAACAAGGACACCTATTAGCAAAATGTATGTAGGTAAAGGACACACTTCTACCACACACCTGTTACATGTAGGCTTAAAACACAAAAAAAACCTACTGGTTAAACCTACAAGCAGTGGCGGACTGACAACTCATGGGGCCCCCGGGCAATAGGGGATCATAGGGGCCCCTGTGTCCTTGCCCTAACTCAAAAAAGCCTATGAAAAAGGTACCAGGGGCATCTCATGGGGCCCCCTACTGACCCCGGGTCCTCGGGCACTGCCCGAGTTTCCAAATGGTCAGTCCGCCCTTGCCTACAAGTGCTTTTTTTTACCACTCCTATCCCCTTTATACTGGCTTTTGAAATTTACAAATGCAACAATTTTTTGAAATTGGATGAAAGGTTTTGGTACTGTAAAACACATTTTATAGGTAAATTGTACATTTTATAGGGGACTTTACATCAGACCAAAATGAAGTAGAAGGAGGGACAGTTAAAGCTACACACAGGGCTGTATTTAGACTTCCTGCTGCCATAGGCATTTGTGAATGATAATGCTCTTTTTATATAAGCTCTGTCATTTCTGCTCTACAATTACTAAAAACTTTTGCAAGAATTTACTTTTGATGTCAGCATGATATATATCAACTGTACATACCAACTAACATGAAAGTAGTGGTGATTTCTAGATTCCAAAAGGGTTTCAAAGGGCTAACTGTGTGCTGTGTGTGTTTTACTGTGTGCTGTTTTACAGTGTGAGCATGCTGCTTTGTATTGCTTTGCTCTGCAGAGCAATACAAAGCAGCATGCTGGAGTTGACAGGGGAGAGATCTGTATTGTTTACGTACATACCTCTCCTCCGTTAGTGTTGCTCAGTGATCACCGGGTGCTGGCGGGGATTCACCGGCTGGGACAAGGTGATCGACAGCTGTGCCACCAATGGCCATGTGGGTAGGGGGCGCACTAGGTAACCAACCTGCACCCCTTTGGCACACCTTGTGTGGCACTGCAGAAAAAGGTCTTACCGAAGAGTTTAAATGACTTAGTTATTTTGTTTTTTTGCTCTTATCTTTATAATGGATCAAAGAGAAATCTCAAATGTAGCACATGTAATTTTTAAGTGGGCTGTAAGGTGCACAAATGTGGAAGCAATAACCCATAAATAGGCTGTAGTGGTCTCGTGTAATTTGTCTCTTAATATTTCTATAGTATGTCTTTGACAATCTCCTGCAGTAGGTCTGCAGTCTATGACCATCTCTTACAGCATGACCGTCATTTTTAATCATCTTCTGCTCCATGTCTGCAATCTGACTGCTTTCTGTAGCATTTCATTCACAGTATTACATGTGGCCCTTATGTGATGTTGGGGGTTGTGTTCGAGGATCCCTATATCAAGAAAGTTGATCACCTTTGTCCTAAAGTATCTACCAGCCAGCCTGCAAGAAAAAAATTACCCTATCCAATGGTTCATGTTAAAACAAGGGGTTTTGTTTGCACACATTTGCAAGTTGACACTGCAGCTTATGCTTGTAATTCCAAATGTGTACATACCCCCCCTTTTTTTTTATTTGAACTGTTAGTTTGTTGCAGGCTGGCTGGTGAGTTGGGAATTTTTGTTGTTTTTTTAATGTCGCCCTTCCATGTGCTCCTTGCTGCATAGGCCAGTTATAGATTGGGGTGGTTGCCATTTGTTCGTACCTAAAGTGTCTGCCCCTACCATAGGTGCACAAACCATAAGCTTGTATCTGGTGCTCCAGGTACCTAAAAATCCTTTGGAAATAATAATGTTTCTAAAAGGCTTGCCACTCCATCTTGTATCAGCCCAAAATGCTTACGTTTATTTCAGCTAAGTGGATGGCCCATCTGAGGATTAGCATACCAGCCTAACCTTGCAAAGGGTGAAAAGAACACTTTCTGAACTAGTCAGTCTAAACTACATCTGTGCATTATGCTAACATGTAGCAAAATACACATTTTTACCTTGCATTATCGTAATGCATGAAATGGACAGTGTTATGTAGTAGTGCCATTTATTTTGTCTATCACCCCAATGCACCTTGCCAGGACACTTCAATGCACGTCTTTTGGCGCGCACACCATGTGCATGTGTGTTAAAATGTCTGTTACAGTGAATTGATGGCACATTCAAAATGAATGGGTCACCTTACCATATTACACATTGAAAGGTGTGAATAGTAACGTGCTTCAATGCTGTCAATCTAGCCTTAGAGGTCTTTATGTGATACTACCTTGTAAATAACACTGGTTTTTAATGATGAATCCAGAGAAATCAATAAGTGAACTTTTGTTTATACTTTAGTGTCACAATGAAGTTAAAAACAAAAAAAATAGTCCTTAATGAAAAGAATTATATAATGGAAATATAATGTGAAAAAAATCACAACATTGTGTGTTTATCTATACATATATATATATATATAGTGCAAAATCATGAAACACCAAATCCTCTGGCAAGAAAAGTATGAGGCAGGCCCATCTTATTGGACCTTATAGATTCTTCTCTTCTTCATCCAGATCTGTCAGGCAGCAGTTGCAAAGGATTTGTATGTATTTTGTGACTGATGCTGCAAAAGAAAAGAAAATGAAAATAGCATTTCACTAGTTGTCTTAATTAAAGCACACCTATCATATACTCATTAAAAGCAAAGCTAGTCCACAGTTACTTACCTAGGAGACACACTCTGGTTCCATACCCCACTTGGGTTTCCTGGCATAGGAAAAATGGTAGAAGAGATTGTGGTTGCCACCAGGCCTCCTTCTCCTGAGCATTCCATAAAGCTTAACTAGCCATATCCAAACACAGTAGGAGCACCTTGTACATTTCCTATGACTAGAGGTGGTGGAGCCCTGGGGGGAGAAGGGACATAATGTACAAGGTGGAGGGAATTGAGTACAAGGTAGAAGGAAGAGAGAAGTGCAAGGGTCTGCTATTGTTGATCTTCGTTAGAAAATGTTGATGGTCTGTCTTTAAATCTTAGTGGTAATGATTCCTAACAAGCATGCCTTAAGTGAGTCTCAGAATTGTGCTTGATATTGACCAGTGACTCCGAAAGCACTGAAACCAAGCATGAGCAGGATTGCAAGGGAACCAACATTCTCATAAGGAAAGCTCAGCAATAGCAGCATCCACGTTCCCTTATGTTATTTTAAAGAGTATGTCTAGGCAACACACACATTTATTACATCTATCCAATACATGAACAATTCCTCATGTTCTGTCTGTTTCTTGAAGTCCATTGGAGGACATAGGAAGATAGTAATTCTTAGACAAAGGAGAAGGAACTGGCAAAAAAAAAAAAGCCTTCATATATTCTGGCCCCTAACTTTCATGCTTCAGTTTTGTGAGCAAGCAGTGCAGAGGGCCAATAAACACTAAGGCATAGCACATGTGTTTTTTCAAGTGACTTAAAGAAAAAAAATTACAATACTGGAGGTACAAAAATCTTTTTCTTTTTTGTCCATGGAGGGCCACAAGAAGATAGTGATTCATGTCCAATTGGGATGTCCAAAATAAGTCAAAATTTGGGGTGGGCAAAAGCCTTTGAGAAAGATCCAAAGAAAAGAATATCCAAAGCAGCCCCTGCCTAAATAAGGCTGAGCAAGAGAAAACAATGGGGAGCAAATATGGAAAATAATACTATCAAGGGAAGGCACCAGGAAAGAAGCTGGTGTTCCACAGCAGGGCAACAATATGGACCTCAACAATAAGCACCGCAACCACCATGAGAAAAACACAGGTGGCAGACAACATAGACTAACAGAAAAAGTGGTCACAAGAACAAGAATTATTGTAAGGTGAAGCCCAAACATTAATATACCTGTAGCACCCTCCTAGTTAGGTGCTAGGATTTATATAGTTAAGTTAAGCATAGATGTGTTTCTCTGCTTAACAGAGAGACTGTTAGTGAAATTTATTTGGGTTCTCTGCTTAACAGAGTGCTGTGATTGATTACTTAAGTCTGCTCATGGTGCTCTGGTGCTGTTTGAGTTTGTCTGAGTTCTGCCCACCTTCAGTAAGCTATGAGAGCTTTCAAGACCATGGGTAGGGGCTAGGCAGATGAACAGCATGAATATGGATACAGCCCTGGCCAATTGCAGGGGAGGGCAGCCCCACTGCATGCTGGGAGTGGAATTTGTTCTGTGAGAAAATGGGTTCAGTGTCTTTCCCAGGAGAGGATTGACCCAAGCCAGACTGGAGGCAGGCTTGCCTCACCTGGCACTGGCTACTATGCGGACCTCAGGTGGTCGACCTGAGGGCCTGAAATTAGAGAGAGTGACCCTGGTTCTACAGTATACTGACCTATAGGGGCTGTTTGCCAAAGCTCTGTCTGGTATCACTAGAGGGTTTTGCTTTGCAGATTGGAAGGAGGCTACCATTCTGTCCTTGGGCCTTGTGAGTACAGACATTGAGGAATTTTGGGTACTCTGTGTGCTTGCTACCACCCTGGTGCTTGTTATTCAGCATGGGTCTGAGAAAAGGGGACACTGACTAATATTCTGAAGCGCTTGTCCAACTGTTGCTACTGCATAGGACTTTTGTTCAGCTACATTACCCTTGGGCTGTGGCAGTCTGTCATAACTGGCTTGTACCCGAGGAGCTCAGCCCTGTAACTACTACTAATGCAAAAAGGGACTTTGCTCACATTTAAACTACTTGCTGTTACAATTTAAAGAGAACTCTGCTATCTGCTTTCATCCAGGACTTCAAAAGTGCTCACCTAAGAGATCAGCTAGATGTCCTCTGTATGAATAGTTCTAATTTTGGAGTATCCTACTGAATTCCCTATCCCCAGTTCTACAATAAACTCTAAAAAACAAATATCCCCTAGACTGATCATTGAAGACAATGAGCAGAATTGTGTGTACCTGGCTGTGAGAAATACCTTGTGCCTGGCTGTGTGGTGAAGAAAGGGGAAAACCTGGGCAAAAACACAAGCAAGGCTCCTCCAGGGGGTAGCGCTACATATCTAACCTTTGATCTCAGAGAAAGGAATATTAGACAAAAATCCCGATCAAGGACCAACCATTGAATAGATGGAGGTCAAAGTAGAATGCCTACAAACCTTAATTTCAAATTACCCTCTTGACAGCCGCTGCTTTTGGGTCCCCCCTATTTACTGCACAGCCAGGCAACACACGTTTAGACACAAGAAGCAGTCCATGGGCTTGGTTTTTAGAATTTATTAAGGAATTCAACTTGGATAGGGAAAAGGGTTATGGGATGCCCAACATGCTTGAAGAACAAAAAACTGAGGACAGTTTCCTTCTCTAACGTAACTGAAAAAATTACATATGACGTTCCAGCCAGAACCACAACAATCTTTAGCGAAATAATCCTTTTCAAGAAATGCAGTGTCCCCTTAGAGGATTTTCAACAAAGTGACCACTTGTAGGAGCTCTTGAACAAAATAACAGCCCTCCTGGATATAGTACCTGATCCTAAAACAAGAGATTGGGTAAGCATTATACTGTCCCCTGCAGACTTGCCAAGAACTTGCATCTAGGAGGCTTCTCCCTTATAGGCCCTGGGGGTGTCAAGGTACTTGCACTGTCCTTGTCCTGCAGCTGCGAATAGAACTGCTTTCAGGCCTTCCGCTGGGCTGGTTCTTTTCCAGGCTATGCAGGCTGTTCTTCCCCGATGAACTAAGGACAGTGGAGCTCCCACCTTCAGCTTTCCTCCTTTGTTCAACTTCAAGCCTGGAGGCAGAACCCCCTTCTCCGGGGCCCCCTTCCAGGCTACAAAACAGCACTTCAATCCTCCATCTTCAATGTGGCTTCCCTGCTGGCCAGACTCTGTCATATTTATGGGCTGATCTGCCACACTGCCAGGCATCTTGCCTGGGATTGTTCAGACTCCATAAATATGCAGATCAACCCCTCCTCACCTCCGTGTCAGGGACAATCACTCAAAATCAGGAACAGTAGGGAGGATGGTAAAGCGCCAAACTGCAGAGCCAAGAGCCCAAAAGCCACATTCTACTTTATCTTCGCTCCATCCATGGGCTAGTTACAGAATAAGTCTTCAAAGACTGGATCACTCCAGAGGCTGTCACGGGTCTGGATCTTGAGGTCACCTTCCAGCTAACAGTAGACTAAGTTCTGGAAATCTCTGCTGGCAGAGCCCAGTGTCTGAAGATCACCTTCTAGTCAGGACCTGCAAACTTCAGTCCAGCGGGGTCCAGGTGCATCACAGAGGAAACATTGATACAAATATGTGTTGTGTAGAGACCAGCTCTAGCAATAAAATAAACTTCTTGATTCAAGAGAAAAAAAACAAGAAGTACAAAGAATGTTGATAGAAGAGAAAAAGCTTCTCAGCAGAGCTGAGAAAAAAGCATCCAACTTCATAGGACATTAGCAAAAAACTGAAGCATGAGGATTAGGGTAGGATTACATGGGGTTGGTCTTCTAGGTTTTTGCTATATAACCCATTTGTCATTTTATTTTATTTACTTGTGTCCCTCAATGGATGCTAATACTAGTTGATTCTGCCAGAAATCCAATGTGCTTTTAACATCCTGTGCACTTCTGCTGCAGTGCCGTGCCTAGTTCTTTCCTGCTGGACTAATGAACACCCCCCCATGTTTGGAAACAAAAGAGGGAATGGTGTTCTGCAGTCCAAGTCATGAATAAGTAACCTGGGGTGACAAAGCCACTTCTCAATAGATGTAGCGAGCGAGCAATGACACCCATAGCTAGGAAATGTTACTTATTATTATACAGGATTTATATAGCGCCAACAGTTTGCTCAGTGCTTTACAATATAACAGGAGACAATACAGCAACGATACAGTGCAATGCAAGCGGGATAGGAGGGCCCTGCAACTTGGAGCGTACAATACAGGAGATTTGCAGAATCATCAGGTGAAATGAAAGGGAAAACACCTGAACAAAGAAAATCAATGCGGCCATCACATAAAATATATTTTTATTTTTGGGTTTAGATACACTTTGGGGTCTATTTATAAAAATATTTCTGTGTGATTGTCACAAGCCTTCACACAGCCATCGTGAATATTCCCAAAGTAATTTGCTTAACTTGTTTTTTTTTTTCTATGACCTCCATTTAGAGACCATAATACAGTATTTACCTTATTGACGCCTTTCAGGAAATACCAATTTATCACCACTAGATGGCGCCGGCAATCATTAGAAATAAACATTTTACATTACGGGGATAATTTGTGATAGTTGTATGAATGCCTGAGGTATTCACACAGTAAATTGTAAATATATAGACCCCTTTCAGTAAAGGTGTTTTGTTAAGAGTTATAAGAGCTGGGGATACAGTACTGGATATGGCATGAAAACTTAGGGCCCTCACTTAAATCAAAGCATAGCAGTAAATACTGAAAGGAAAAAAGGTTTCACTGCTTAGAACAAAAAGCACAGTCCTGCTCTTTAAACAAGGTGATAAATAAGCCTCTTCTTGAGAATAATCAATGCACTAAAAAAAGGAAAAAGGGAATTGTGATATACTCACCACAAAGATAAGAAAGGAATCTTGGTCTCTTTTCAACTTGTAAATAAACTCCTAAAAAGTAAGCAGGAATTCCAGAGAGTGCTATTCCAACACCAATGAGTGAGTTAATGGTATCACAATAGAGAGGCACGATAACCAGGAAAAGACTGCAGAGGCAATATACCACAGGAAAGAACAGACTGACCTGCAATGAAGGACAAATGTAACATCATAATATTATAATTTAGCTGCTCCAAATACCCTACACTGATACTTATGGCTAAGGTATGGGATGCGATGAAGCAACTTATGAAATACGATGGCATCTCCAGATACCACCCCAGACTGAATGAGCTAGGCAAACTGCAGGGTTTCGCAGGATGGTCCTCTAGATAGGACCTCTTTATATACCAGCTGTACAATAATAACCAGTTGAGGTCCTTTAAAGATTTACAAGAGGAATTTAACATACCCATTTCCTCTTACAGATTTGTTTGGTATCTTCAGATATGTCACAACCTTGCTGTTCAAGCCAAGTCGACAGTCCTTACATTGATTCCGACCCCACTTATTGACCAATTAGCATCCTCAACTAATAAGAAGGATCTTATATCTTCTTTATATAAATCTCTCTTTGTTAATTCTCAGAGTAACTTGCAGTTACCGGGAAGACATGGATGGTCAACAGATATATCCACTTTAGATGGGGAGCTTTGGCACTCAATTTTGGAACGGTCCCCTCAGTATCCATCTCTCCTACTTAGAGATTGTCACAACCTTTTCTTATTCATAGGGCTTCAGAATACCTCACAAGTTTGTTGAAGTGGCACCTCAGAAAGATGCTGAATTACCCTTGATGTGGGGGAGCACCTGCTGACCATCTGCATATATTTTGGAAATGCCCCAAACTGGTGCGCAACTGAAGTGTTTTCATTAACACTATTAATCAAGCATTCCAAGTGGCTTTGAATAATGAATCTGTGTACTAGGGTTCCTTTAAGAAGACCTTTATATGCCCCAGGCCAGAATTGCTATTACTAGACTTTTGTTTCTGGCAAGTAATTATATCTTAATAAAATGGCTTGCACTCACACACCCTACATTTGAGTAATGGCGGATGAATGTTAATTCTAACTTGATGAAGAAGAAACATATCCTGAAGCAGCGAGGTACTCCCTTCAAATTGAATTAGATCTGGGATCCATGTCTTCAAACTCCGGGCTTACCCCGCTTGGCTCTTATGAACCAACTATCATTATAGAATGTGCAGGGACACAACTATGGTCCCTGTTTGGAGGAATTCTGTAACTAGAGTAATGTAATTATATGGCAATGGCCTTTGCTAGGCAGACAAGACTGATGTGAGCATGACTTGCCTTCCCCCCCCCCCCCCCCCCCATTTTTTTTTTGCTTGTGAGCTTTATATTGTGATTGTCTCTAAACTATATTTCAGAGGGCTGCATAAATGTTCTATGTATACTATACCTCACTTTAGATATGAGCAATCTAAGTAAGAAAGTTATTAACTGATGTATTCTGTTTCGTTGCTATATATCAGCTTTCATGCCTTGGAGTGCCGTATCGGTGCCATTTCTTGCTGTGAATTTACCACACTGTGTGTGACAGAATACTGTTGTCGTTAGAGGGGATTCAAATGTCAGATTGTATGTTTTTATTTTCTTTTTGTTAAGTTGGTTCAGTTTTGTGGATTGTAAATTGTTTAAACCTCAATTAAAAAAGTAATTGAAAAAAATCTTATAATTTAATGAAGACTTTGTCCTGTTGTATTTTCTGGACTCCCACATAGCCACTGCAATTCATTACAAGTTTTTTCACATTCATGTCAGACCCATACTCGTAGATTTGAAATCAGGTTGTACCCAGAACAGGAAAATGTAAACTCATTACAAATAACAGGACTAAAATAGATCCATATTATGGGGTATCTAAAGGTAGGGATCTCTACTCCCATCAAAGCTTATCTAGACATTTTCCGCACACTATATTGTACCACTTACATTTGTAGCCAATAGCTCATGGATTGTAAAGAGCAGTTGATCAAACCTCCTGGAGCCTACCCCTTAAAACATAGCCAGTAACAGAAACTGCAAGAGTCCTATCCTTTCAGCCCCCTTAAGCCTTCGAAGTCTGGCAATAAGCCAGTGTGTAAGAGGTTTAAACATATCTTCAGCTACGGTGCTTAAATACTCTTAAATATTTTTTCATGATGGTTAATAGCAGAACTTACCTTTATAGGACGTGACCTTTCAGGTTGGGTAAATCGCAGCACTATTAATCCAGCAACAGAAAGGCCAACAAACAACCAATAACTGAAGCTGTAGTAGTTTATGAGTTGAAATATGTCTTCCACAAGCAGGTAGACAATTGCCATTAACCCCTTGAAAAAAAAACAAAAAAAACAAACATTTGTAGTCTACCATGGGCAGCACAGTGGCTTAGTGGTTAGCACTTCTGCCTTGCAGCACTGGGTCCCCAGTTTGTATCCTAGTCAGGAAACCTCTTGTATTGAACTGTATTGTTGCTGTATTGTCTCCTGTTATATTGTAAAGCGCTGAGCAAACTGTTGGCGCTATATAAATCCTGTATAATAAATCCTGTAAATAACTGCGCAGTTTGCATGTTCTCCCTGTGCTTGTGTGGGTTTTCCCCCAGTATTCCAGTTCCCCCCACACTCCAAAGACATGCTCCTAGATTGGCTTGTAGATTATGTCTAAATTAGACTGGAGATTTGTGTGTGTATAAATGCATGTGATAATGGGACTTGAGATTGAAGGTCCTTGAGGGCAAGGACTGATTTGAATGTACATGGTATGAATTGCTGGTGCTGTGTACGGTAAATACCTGTAATAAATAAATAAATAAAATCCCAAGTTTGGAAGCATTTAAAGTGGTTCTAGCAACAGAAGTTTTTCTTTACCTTAAAGTGTTACTAAACCCACGATCCCGCATTCACTATATCTGGTCTCCCATAGTACACACAACATGGAAGTACAATTATTTTAGTAAATATAAACTGCTAACTACCTTTTCTCATCAGCAGTCAGAGCAGTCTTGTGACTTCAGCAGAGCACTGGTTAAAGCTTGTAGGAGGAGTTTTCCTTCTGCTCTAGGAGTATGGAAATCCCCTGACCTCTGTCTGGACAGTGCTGATTGGCCCTGTGCTAATCACATGCACTCTCCCAAGAAAAAAAAAACCTCTAGCAGTACACACTAAACTAAGCATGTGCAGGATGGATACGGGTTCAGTCTGTCTTATCAGCATGGAAATTAGAACAAGAGGAGGGGCAGAGAAGAAAGGATCAAACAGCCTTTTTAAACAATGCAGAGGATTAACCCCTTAGGTCACACAGTGAGTATAACAAGCATGCTTTACTGCATATACAGACTGATTTTACTGTTGTGGGTTTAGTAACACTTTAATGCATTATATGCAATAAAGTAAAAAACATTCTGTGTGCAGGTCCTAGCCCCCCTTATACTTACCTGAACATGATCTAGATCCAGTGCTGTGTTCAAGAGCAGCAGCTTTCTCCACTCTTTCTCTTCTCACTGGCCATGGAGGCAGCAGTGGAAGCCATTGGCTCCTGCTGCTGTCAATTACAGCCTTTGAGAAGAAAGCTGGGGCAGGGCAGAGCCACATGTTGTGTGTCAATGGACACACAGCGTATGACTCAAGATCAAGCCTGCATGAGTGCCCCGTACCAAACAGCTTGCTAAGGGGGCACTCAGAAGGGGGAAGGAGCCAGGAACACCATGCAAAAGACCCAGAAAGCCATTGCACAGAGCAGGTAAGTACACCATATTTGTCATTATCTTAACTTTCTACTGTCACAATATAGCCTTTAGCCGTTATTTTATGTGGCAAAGGACAGCTGCTCTGATTAAAACACTGTAGATCTTGTATCAATGTGTTCCTTTTAAGAGCTGTTATAAATTATAAATAATAAATCAAATGTTAGCTTTAGGGCAGGTTGTGTGCTGATTGTTGGTTGGGGAATAGGCCAATTTTTAATAAGAACTCTTTGAAACTTCAGTCCATATTTTTGGGAAAGTTGTCTAAGACAACATACAGCAACAACTTCTCCAGTATTCATTTTTCAGGTTTCCCTCGGCTTAATAAATAAGAGACAGTGCAGCAAGCTCTATGTGTAATAACAATATACATCGTTTTAGCATCGCTCAGCTAAGTGGGCAATGAGTCACTCAGAGTCATTTGTATTTTAATATCTGTAGCAAGTGCACAAATGTCCGGTGCAAGTTAGTATGTTTTGCACACTTACATTAAAGAGAAGCGCAGGGACTGGGGTGAAGTTCTGCAGATGAATCAGACTTAGACTTGCAGGTAGGTGACCTTCCCTTGCTCCAACATAAAACAGCCTAGAGAAATAGAAATGATGCAGACATTGCCAATATAAACTGTGACTTCAGTACTTCTGACACTTTACTGGCTAACCAGGCAAGTAGGTAAATAATTGTAATCTCTTCTCTGTAATTTTTGGGTGGCATATACAGGTGCAAAAGGCTCACCTGAAGCCCTCTGATCTTTATTAAAAAAAGAATATTCTAAAATGGGTATGAAATGAATAACTAAGCCAGTCAACAACTGATTGGGGATTTACAATACATCTACAAGCATGAAAAGTGCACTAAGTATGAGCTTGTATACTCTACAAGAACTTACCTATCAGTCAGTTTGCTAACGCACAGCAAAAATGCTAAGTAAGTTCAAATGGCAGGAAAATCTGGCTATGAACTGTGTACCAGCAAAGCTGTGCAGGTGACTGAAGGCCACATAAACACTTTATGAATTTTTATTAGGGAAAAAATTCCAGGCAGATATAAAAAGAAAAACAACAAAAAAAACATAACTTATGAATGTATTAACAGCATTTAATGTACTTTTAGGGTGTACCTAAAATAAAGTAAAAATAAGTACTTTTTATTATAATTATTTCTACTTCTTTTAACTACACTACACTGGCAATGGAAACATACTATCAGGATGAGTGAGAAGAGCTATGGCTCACAGTGTCATACTTTTTATATCACTTTGCTTAACTATACAACAAAGTTATTTTAAATAGTAATCAAGAAATTAAAAAAATAGAGAGTGACCTTAAAAGAAACAAAGACGCTGCCGTGGTGGTCTATATGAGAAAAAGAAACTGCTAGTGAGTGGAGAAGCTCTGCCTTGTATTGGTGGTCAGTAAAATGTTCCCTTACATTGGTGGCCATTTAATAAGTGCCACCTTATATTGGTGGCTAGTGCGAAGAGAGCCATTTACATTGGTGGTTAGTAAGTAGTATGGCCTCTTGCTTTGAAAGTCATTGGAAGGAACATTGCCCCAATATGTTGGTGGTCAGAAGGTGGAACATTACCCCTTGCTATGGTTATAAACAAGAAAAATGCCTGTTACATTTGTGGTAAGTAGAAACAAGTATGTCCCCTACATGCGTGGTTGGTAGGGAGATTGCCCGTTTAATTAGAAGTCAGTGGAAGGATGACCTTCAGCCTCTTAATGCCTGCACTCAGGATGGACAGCTTCCACCATCTCACCATTAGTATAACATTTGTATATCACTGATCTCCCATCAGTAGGCTTCTGATCCTTCATTGTCCAACTATCAGGGTTAAGATGAGTAACAGAACAAGCTAAACCTATTAAAGCGGAAATTCACTCTCTCAATCAACATTGATTATTTGTAATCCTTATGCTGCTAGCATTGGTAAATAGATTCAAAAGTATATTTACTTGTTTTAAAACTTTTTATTTTACATTTCCTCAGTTACTTACAGGTTTTCATGTCTAGGCAAATGATGTCATATATCCCAGGAGTCTTCAGAAGGGAGCAGGGGTTTGCTGAGCTAACTTCACCTTCCTGTCTGTATGCCTGAGCTATGGACAGATGGATTCCAGGAAGTAAATGCTTCATGAATCATCTGCTCTTACTCAAGATGGCCAAGGTCAGAAATGCTAAGGGGTGTTTTTTTTAAAGTGATTGCTCAGCTAAATAAAGCATGAAGACATGAATGGATGTCTGAGTTTGTTCTGAATAAGAAAAATGAATTAAATAGCATTTTTGGTTTGTGGTGCTCAGATAGAGTATAATTATGCTTTAACTGTAAAAAGTTACAGGAACTTGCTATGCTGTCTGGCAGGGGTATCTTGACCACAAGACTGGCTGGGCAGAACTGCAAATGTTAAAGCAGTTTCTATGTATGTATTTCAACTGAGTAGTTAGATTGCTCTAAGTTTTTAAAGTGAACCTGACCTAGCCTAAAAGTGCCTAAGATAACAATACTTCTGAACTTTGATATACTCATCCTCCAGACCCTAATTCACACCCTTGCTATTCTCTTCTATTCAATTCTATTCTATCAGATGTCAGAGCCTCAGTGGGCAGTGGGGACCAAGCTTTCTTCCATTATCCAGACTTGTTCTGACATAGCATATTGAAAAAGAAGATGAGCATATACATACACAGGAACTAAGATTCAAATTGTTTTTCATTTGGATGCCAGTGTACAGATCTGACAGCTAAACACTTCTCATAAAAAGTTAGTTTGTTTTCACAGATCATGCATAATAATGAGATTATCTATTATTTTTCTATTCTAGATACAAATAAATTCAGCTTAGCGAAGCGCTCTCTAGTAGATGACATGTCTGTTGCTTTGCTCAAAAATAGACATGGGTAATAAAATATGAATACACAGAGGAATCATCTTACAGCGTTGCATAATGTTTCTCTGTCTGCGAGGCCTGACCCGTCAGTTACTCACCTTGATGCTGCAATTATAGATGAGTTCAAGCCACCATAACAAGACATAGCAACAGCTATTGGAATCAGCCATTTGGCATGGCCAAGAACTTCATTTCCAAATGTCTATAAAATACAAAATAGTTTTAGCATTTGTTGCTTGATATCAAAATTAAAACAAACTTAGCACTTAAGCACACCCATTTGTATTCACCTCTAAACTATCTACAGATTCTGCAGAATGCAAGTGATATCAGAACTAAAATAGATACTTTACGTATCACTACAGAAAACTCACCACAGCAACTGCATCACTGGTCAGGACAGACGCCATGTCTAGCACCACATAGTATGCCACGTTGGTCAGAAGGTATATAATAGTCACAATAGGCATTGAAATAGCAATAGCAAGAGGGAGGTTCCTGTAAATATATGAAAATAAGAGCAGTAGTAGTAAATGTGTTCTGAAACTAAAGAGACGCTCTAAAATGCAATATTTATGTGCACTAGGACATACCTTTTGTGGAGTGGGCAATATATGTATGGCTTAGGAAGTCCAACCAGCAATTCAGGGGGTCCCCTGAAGAATTCATCTTTTGACAAAATGTGTAGGGGCGTGGCCTTACACAGTGACATCATCACACACGCCGATTGTTTTTCAAAGCTCTAATACCATGGTTTTTTTTCTATGTAAGTGCATTCTTTTAATCAATAAATACAGTTTTAAAGGATTTCATGTTTTCCAAACATATGCAGCTCTATTATGCCGGGAGTGGTGTGTTGTGGCTAATCTGAGAATCGTAGCGCAATGGAGTAGCCAGGAGATATATACACATACTTATCATGACCACTTATACATAGATAAGCATTTAACAAAAGCTTTTTGTGCATGGTGGAAAGGTGGAAGAATTCATGCACTGTATGATTTACACAAGCTGTGTTTAGCACTTTTACTTTGCATAACAATATTGGAACTATTTCACTTAATGCTGTGTGTAAATGCACTGTGACACTTTTATGTCCAATTGTTATATTGCTTATAATTATGTATATGTTTATTTGATTATTTCACTATTGTGTTTGATGTCACATTTAGGGTAGAGTTCTGTCTTTAACAATGTTGTACTTATGTTGTGTATTTAGCCTGTAAAAGTTAGCCAAAACATCTAAGGACTTATAAACTGAAATATATTCTGTTTTGTTTTTGGGTTTAGATACCCTTTAACCAGTTAAAGTGATGGGAGCACCACAATTATGTTGTATTTATGCAAGACGTTAGCAGATGCACCCCTGATTGTACTGTGTCATTAACCACTTGAGCTCCAGAGGATGTACCCCCCTTAATGACCACGCCTCTTTTTGCTACTCGGCGCTGCACTAATTGAACTGATAATTGCGCAGTCATGCAATGCTGCACCCAAACAAAATTTACGTCCTTTTTTTCACACAAAATAGAGCTTTCTTTCGGTGGTATTTGATCACCTGTGCGCTTTTTTATTTTTCACGCTATAAACAAAAAAGGCCAAAAATTTTGAAGAAAAACAATATTTTTTACTTTCAGCTATAAAAAATATTTAGTAAACTCAAAGTTGGTTATAAATTTAGGCCAAAATGTATTCTGCTACATGTTTTTGGTAAAAAAAAATCCCAATAAGTGTATATTGATTGCTTTGTGTGGAAGTTATAGCGTCTACAAACTATGGTATAAATACTGCAATTTACGCCATTTTTCTGCTATACAGCGCTGCGCTAGTTTAACGGACAATTGCGCGGTCATGCAATACGGTACATAAATGAAATTTACATCCTTTTTTTCCCCACAAATTGAGCTTTCTTTCGGTGGTATTTGATCGCCTGTGCGGTTTTTATTTTTTGCGCTATAAAAAAAAAAGGCTGACAATTTTGAGGGAAAAAAAAAAAAAATAATATTTTGGACTTTTTGCTATAAAACATGTCCAGTAAAAAAAAAATGCAAAAAATCAAATTTAGTCATAAATTTCTGCCAAAATGCATTCTGCGACATGTCTTTGGTAAAAAAAAAAAAACCAATACGTGTAAATTAATTGGTTTACGTGAAAGTTATAGCGTTTACAAATGGCGGGAAAGATACTGGGATTTTTAATTTTTATTTTATACTAATAATGGCGCCGATCAGCGACATATAGCGGCAATCAGCGACATATGACGGCGACCAGCGACTTATGGCGGGACTACGGGACTGAGGCGGACATTTTGACACTGGGGGGGAGCTGACTTGGGGTCACTGACATCCCCAGTGACACCAATACAGTGATCAGTGAAAAAAAAAACCACTGAAACTGTACTAATGTCACTGGGGAGGAAGGGGTTTAACATTTTTAGTGTTCACTGTGTGAGGGGAGTGTTTTTACTAAGGGGCGGGGGTGTGTACTGAATGGGGGGAGGGAGGGGGGAGCTGATCGAGGGAGAGAAACTGTATTCTCCCTCTGAAGCTTGGCGGCGAACTGTCACAGAGCAGGCTGTGTGTAAACAATGCAGCTCTGCTCTGTGTCAGTGTTCACCGCTCATCGCGGGAAAACGGCCGGTAAAAACCGGCCGTGACCCGGCGGCAGGGACCCGCTGCTGACACCAGCGGGACAGGTAGGGCGGGCGCGTGCCTCGCGCGCGCCCCCTGCCTGTTTTGTAGGCACACGTTTTTAAACGTGCTTTTGCCTACGAGCGCCGCCCTGCCACCGTTTATATGGGGTGGCTGGGCGGCATGTGGTTAATATGATCTTGCTTGATTTCATCATTGGTAAATAAACACCAGATTATACCTTTTATAAAATCCAAACCTGGTGCTAGTAAGTGTATAATGTATGAATGTCAGTGTTTTATTAATGAGGGATAATGGGAAACATGTAAATCCAATTTAAATTGAGGTTCCCTTATGTGCTAAAATGGAGATGTTCTAGCAAACAACATTTGTACTTGGTTCTTTTTTGTTTGAAGTTCTTTGCAGAATAAATGTTGACTGCAAAAGCCTGAAAGGTTTACATTTATTTAATTACAGGTACTTACTGTATATAGCGCTGTCAATTTATGCAGTGCTTTACATGTATATTCTCCAGAGCCTCTCCCATCCTCTGGAACTCCCTACCACAGCATGTCCTGTCAGCCCCCACCCTGTCTGCCTTTAGGCGATCTTTGAAAATTCACTTCTTCAGAGAAGCCTACCCAACCTCCACCTAAGAACTGTACTTGAATCACCTCCGCCAGATCATCCCCCGCAGTTACCTTTTGTATCACCTCCCCCTTCCTTTAGATTGTAAGCTCCACGAGCAGGACCCTCCTATTCCTTCTGTACTGAAAGTATTGTTACTGTACTGTCTCCCTTATATTGTAAAGTGCTGCGCAAACTGTTGGCGCTATATAAATCCTGTATAATAATAATAATAATGTATATATACACTATATTGCCAAAAGTATTGGGAAACCCTTTCAAATCATTGGATTCCGGTGTTCCAATCACCTCCATGGCCACAGGACCTAGGCACGCAGACTGCTTCTACAAACATTTGTGAAAGAATGGGTCGCTCTCAGGAGCTCAGTGAATTCAAGCGTGGTACCGTGATAGGTTGCCACCTGTGCAATCAGTCTGTCCATGACATTTCCTTGCTACTAAATATTCCATAGTCATCTGTTAGTGGTACTATAACAAATTGGAAGCAACTGGGAACAACAGCAACTCAGCCACAAAGTGGTAGGCCACGTAAAATGAGAGAGCAGGGTCAGTGCATGCTGAAGCGCACAGACTAAGACTGGGATGCCCATAAAGTTCATGTGCGTGTAAAGGCAGACATCCCAAGACTTTTGGCAATATAGTGTATATATCGTACATTCATATCAGTCCTTAACCCTCAAGGAGTGTAAAATCTAAGGTCCCTAACTCACATTCATACTAGGGCCAATTTAGACAGGAACCAATTAACCTACCAGCATGTCTTTGGAGTGTGGGAGGAAACCCACACAGGCACAGGGAGAACATGCAAACTGCAGGCAGGTGGTGCCAAGTATGGAATTTGAACCAACAACCCTAGTACTGCCAGGGGGAAGTGCTAACCATTTAGCCACTGTGTATAGAGAGTCACTTTATTTTTAGATCTAATTATACCAGATTTTACCAGCAGGGGAACCTGCAAGACAAATCTGTAACAGGAGGTCTTACAAATTCAGGATCTCTGAAAGGTAGGGTCACATTTTGGATACCTTTTAAAAACAGAATTGCAATGTCTTGTTTTGCTCAGCAGCACCTTGCTTAAAAAAGAGGTTCTAATTACTGCCACTGGGACTTTGACGGCCTTGTCCTTGAGAAAGAGCAAGTAGTCCTGTACACAGCTCAAGTTCCAATAATATCTCCTGGCAGCTAAAAAACAGTATTTTACATTTATCAGCCGCCATGAAGAGTCTTAGTCATAGTTCACCTTCATATTGCACCTTTGCACAAGGAATACCTTCCCTTCCAAAAAAGTGTGTGTGTGTGTGTGTGTGTGTGTGTGTGTGTGGGGGGGGGGGGGGGGGTATACAATAGGCACCACTGACATAATTACTGAACAAAGAAATATTCAAAAGATGTAAAAAATATACAGCAATAGTTAAACATTTCCTCACAGTATGAAAAGTCGAGTATCAATACATACAGTATATAAAGAAGACAATAATATAAAATATATTAATTGAAGCAAATTAGTTAATTATTTAAGAAACAAATCTAAGTCCCAGCAATGGTTAAGGCCAAAAGGAGCTCTGGTCCCGAATCTATGTATCTAAAACAATTCCCTTTCATGAAGTTTTCTATACAACTCACCTTTCTCAAGACAAATTAACTCTCTCTCTAGCAGAAAAAGTCATATTACCATTATAAACCTGTAAGACATGCTTGGATACATTAGATTGTTGAGAAGCCTCTGGGTTACAACCAAAGTTTTCAGCAATTCTGATAAATCGTACATCCTACATCTGTAAAGAACGGAGTGTGCATATGTTTAGCACAAACTACATAGCACGTATTAGAGTTAATGAAACCCCTCATGAAAAAATATCTCCAGTTAGTACTAACTTAACAACTTTAGCGGTTGCATGTACTTTACAATAGCAGCATGTCCTTATTCCTTACTTGTATGACCCTGTTACCGATAACCATGTTTTCAGACTCTTTTTAGTATTAAGAATTTTTTTTTTTTTAAATCCTTTAGAGGGAAGTGTTTTGGATACATAGATTAGGGAAGAGTATTGTGCTCCTTTAAAAAAAACTTTTTCCAGAGCAGTCTGTATTTCACCTGAGGTTACTTGTGAGTTTTTCTTTGTATCCCTAACAATTCTTCTGGCAGTTGTGGCTGCAATCTTTCTTGGTCTACCTGACCTTGGTTTGGTATTAAGAGATCCCCTAACTTTCCACTTCTTAATAAGTGATTGAACAGTGTTGACTGGCACATTCAAGGCTTTCTTTTTTTTTTATAAATATTTATTTATTTTCAAGTCTTATACATGTCATTTCAACATTTCTATTATTATAATTATCAAAACAGTAATTTATATAATTTATTTGACCATATATATAACTTCCTTTTCTTACCATCCCCCCTCCCAAACTCCCCCTCCCCTCTATCCCCCCCCCCACCATCCCTCTTCCACCCACGCTCCACTTTCCTTTTTCTCTCATTAACTCCATGTCTTTCTGTTATTCTTAAACCCTATTCTAATTCCACTTCCAGGAATGTTATCTCATCATATATTTCACCTTTACTTTATATTCTTCCCAGACTTTCCATTTTTTATTATACAACTCCAACTTGTCCTCGTACGTATAATACAATCTTTCTGTCCCGGATAGTTGATTTACTCTACTTATCCAATCCTCCTCAGTTGGCACCTCTCTTTTCTTCCAGAACCTGGGGATCAGACTCTTTGCTGCGGTCAAGTAATGCCATATCCCGGAACTCTTGTATACTTTCGTAGAGAGCTCCGAGATATGGAGGAGGCATAGTTCTGGATCCAATCCTATATTGATTTTAGTAATTTTCCCTATTAAATAAACTATCTTCTGCCAAAACACCTGTATTTCTGAACACTCCCACCACATGTGATACCACGTGCCAACCTCACCACATCCTCTCCAACACATCCGTGACATCTCCGTATTCATCTTGTGCTCTACATTAGGGGTAATGTGCCATCTATTCAAACACTTATAATTTATTTCTACTTCCCTCATACTAATATTTTCATGAATTAATGTGAACATTTTCCTCTTCTCCTCCTCCTCTATTTTTCTTCCTATGTCTCTTTCCCATTTCTCTATGTGCATTAATTTTGTGTCAGTGTCAATCTCCAATAATATCTTGTGTATTTTTGCCATTCCGTGTCTACCATTTCGGCACATTCAAGGCTTTCAATATCTTTTTTAAAGTTCCATTATCTTGTTACACAGGAGTTTTGTCAATCCTTTTCTGCCCCCCATGGCTCAGTATCTAGCCATTTAATTGGCATTTCTATCTGTGTGTCCCCTTGTTTGTCTGCACCAAGGGCAAACATTCCAGGGTATGTAAACTTTTGATCCGAGCTATTTGGGTGATTTCTGTTATCATTATGGTTTAAAAATGAGCCAGACAACTATGTGATAATAAATGGCTTCATATGATCACTATCTTTCTTGACATTATTATTATTATTATACAGTATTTATAAAGCGCCAATAGTTCGCTCAGCGCTGTACATTACAAAGGGGGACAGAACATGTGACAAAACAATAACAATACAATGCAAAACATGAGGGGATCGAGGGCCCTGCTCTTTCGAGCTTACAATCTATTATACTTCAATATAATGATGAATAAAAATAAATAAATGAATATATATATATATATATATATATATACTAGCAGAGTGAAAATATGACACAAAATATAACACTGTAGATATAAACAAATATTTACATCATTTGACATAAGTCCATCAACTGAAAAATGAAAATTGTGATGAAGTGCAAAGTCCTTATTGATCCAAATCATCATTGTTTCATGAGGTGATTATTGCATTATTCACTATTAGGCAAGCTGCATACTTACACATTCTATGCACTCATTTATTGACTTAGGAGAGTGATTTATTATGCATTTTGTCAGGTGTTAGTTGTTTTTTTAATATATTTTCACATCTCATTTGCATGTTGAATATACGGTTTATATATTGATTTTGAATACTTTCAATATACTGTAAATGCCAAAATTTCACAATTTCTGCCAGGGTATGCAAACTTTTGAGCACAGCTGTATATATTGTTATAACATATTTGGAATATTTCTTTATTCAGTATTTTGTTATGTAGTTTTAAAATGTTGTCAACATGTGTTTTCTATTGTATGCAATGTTAGAGTTATCAGTGACTATGGCCCTTCATGGCTGAAAAGCATAAGAAGACTACATTTTTTACCTGTATGCTTGAAGACTAATAATTTATTGGAACTTGAACTGCAGGCAGGACTACTTGCTGTATCTCTGGATGTGTGGGCATTCAGGAGCCCTATTGTGGGCACTAGCATTTTCCAGTGCGATTAATGGATGGATGAGGTTGAGCAGCTATACATTTTATTTGCTCATCCTTGAGAAAGCCTTAGGGAATGCTTACTTTTAAAAGTTAAAATGTTCAGCAGATACATTATAAAGGGACTCACTGACCATCTGAATTCACAAAGTTACAGGCCAGGTCTATGGGGGGGGGGGAATCCTAATGCCCTTGATAATTTATAATAAATCAAAACTAACACAGAGACTGACAGAGAGTGGCAAATTCAACTACACAAGTAATACTAGCAACTTGACCCTATTCTTGCTATGTTGTTGAGCTTATTTTAAACAATACTTTACAGTTATGTCACCAGGTACTGGCTATATCATCATGCCTTTCAGGAACATTTACAGATGAGACTATGATTAATCCTTTTAATCCTAGTGCCCAATACTGGGACTGCTACATCACTTCCTGTTCGAGTGGATTTATATCTTCTGACAGCAATATAATGTATTTCTGAGTGCTAACTGAACTATAGCTACCAGAGAGTAGGGGAACCAGAAGGTTGTTGGGAGAGCAGAGATAATCTACAACAAGGAACTGGCTTGGTCTCTTGGCATGGGATTCAAAGCTTAACACAAGGGGACTGCCATCTCTTCCAGAGATAGATTGTTTGCCTACTGCTGCAGGACTCTGCACATCAGTTCAGCACAGGAGTGACACTGATCACCACTCCGGAACTGCATCAGCTTCTCTGCATCAGGACTGTCACTATTCGGTCTTCACACAGACATCACTGCAAGCTGCATTGACAGGCCATCATGTGGCAACTCTGCACATCCCTGCAAACAGCCAAGAGCCTGGGCAAGAACTCTCTAGGAGGTTGTGCTATCCATGGGATTGGTGAACAGGCGGATGCCCTACCTCTTTCTGTCATCACTCTAGAGACACTGCATGCAGAAACCTTTACTTCTCAGTATCAGGAGATCTTTGAGTAGTACCAAAGCCTATCTGTTTACCTTCACTGAATTACCCATATTCACTACTGTTTATGTCTCCACCATTGCTATCAGAAGACAACGGACATGACAATATTAGGAACTTTAAACATCACAGGACTCAAGTTGCAGTCTCTAGTTAAAGGGACCTCTTCTCTTATAAAGCCCTTATTATTAAATTAGGATACTTATATCTATTTATACATTTAAAAAATTCTCTGTATCCACCATTATGGCGCTGATGGCTTAGAGGGAGCTGATAAGTCACTTTTGACAGAGGGGGAGCAGAAACAACAAAGTGGCGGTGACGGCAGTAGCTGTCAGCTATTGGAGTGAGGAGCGGGGAGCCGGGGCAGGGTTTCGTTTTACTGGGATTACTTTTTGCCAAATTGTGAATTACCTGGATGCACAAGTTTCTGCATGTGAGAATCTGCATTCCAGGATATCCCCATCCCCGCTGATCTTGTCTTTAGGTCTCTGACAGAAAGATGGATGCTGCATCGTGATCATCCTTGGAGCCTTTTCAGCTGGACTTTGCCACAACATTCATCTTGAGGAATATGGCTACTTTGAATTAACATAGGGAGACAATAGAGAAGGAACCCACTGAGATGTAAAGCCATGGTGAAACAACCGCATATGACCTTCTTTTAATTAAGGGGCCATGGATGTTGGTGAATGCAATATTATTGGCACACGGTTGTGGAGCACTAAGTGGATTTGCATGAAGAAATTTATTAAGTACCAGAAGATTTTGTTTGCACACTACATGGCCTTGGACTTTTTATGGTAATATTAATTATATTGATTGGCTATTATGATTAATGGTATATAACATATTTTGATTAATGATATAACACGTTTGGTTTATGTGAAGCACTGGACCTTGCTTTTGTATGGTTTAAATCACAGGACTCAAGTTGCAAACTCTAGTTAAAGAGATCTCTTATAAAGCCATTATTATTAAACTAGGATGCTTATATCTATTTGTGTCAGAGTGTACATTTAAATAATTCTCTGTATCCACCATTGTGGAGCAGATGGCCTAGAGGGAGCTGGTAAGTCATCAAGCTTTTTCTTCACCCTCTCACTGCTGGTGTTGCAGTTTAATAGTTGAAGCTTACTACTCAGGACTGTATACTTTGTTTAAGTTTGCTAACTGATTATTCCTATTTTACCAGTGTTCTATTGTTATGTGTTAATTGGGGTTATATATCCTAAACCCATTATTCTTGTGGTCTACTCTTTTGAACAATATTAATATAGATGTGTTACTAAAGAATTGCGTCTCTCTCACATTATTATCCTATACTGTTGAAATATGTCTGAACCCAGAGTGTCAGAGGTGTGGGGAGGCTTGCAAGGTCAAGGCAACCACTGGGGACAACAGGTGTTTGGACTAAATAAATAACCTAGACTGATAATACTCATATTTTGTAAAATGTACCATAGGCACATACAGTGAAGAATTATGGGACAGTGACATTTTAAAAGATTCTAACCTTTCAGGATTCTTCATTTCCTCTGTGACAAAGTTTAGTGTATCCCATCCAGAGTAGGAATAAAGTGCAGAGTAGAGGGCTAGAGCCATAGATCCCACATTCATTGTTGACCCTTCAAAAGGACTTTGGAGATTTTCTGTCTCGCCTAAGAAAACAGAGAGCGAAACCAGCCAGATTATGTTCAAGTGGGTTGAAAAGAAACAAAATTCCTGCACTAAAATGCTGTGAATTGTAGATGTCACCATAAGTGTTGCTAGACGAGAGTTTTTCTCAGGTATCCTACCCAGTGCCCAGGGACTAGCAAGACCTTAAACAGAGGAAGTCAATCTGAATAGCAGAGTGGTTTACCAATGTCACAGACCCAGGAACAGGAAGGAACAGGTGTGAGTCCTCTGCAGTGCTTCTCGCCAACAAAAGGGAGACAGAGACCACTGCCTACTAATAGGGGCACTGGCTACTGAATGCCTATATAACAATGCCACTGAACACAAATGTTACAAGGGCAAACACCTACATTTTAATGGGTAATCACCACTGATCATCAAAGTGGTAGTAAACTCTTTTATTAACTTTTACCTTATAGTAAAGCTTACCTGAAGGTAAAATGAATATCAACCTAAACATGCACCGTTTAAGAGATACAGTATTTGCTCTTTTTTAGAGCTGATGCATGCGCTCTGAAGGAACAGCATACCCATGCCGTTCCTTCAGAGTACTGTGCTGTGGCTCGGCAAGTCAGATGGCCAGAGCTTGCGAACCCAGAAGGAAGGCCAGGTGAAGATGGAAGCCTCTGCAGCAGTGACAGCGCACCGCTGGAGGTCTTCCTTTTAAGGAACGTCTTTCATAATGTGCTAGTATGCATACTAGCAAATTATGACATTACCTTGCAGGGGATTAATTTATTTATTTAACCTTTACTACCATTTTAAGGTAAGCAGACAGGGACCATTGACTGCCAGTGGGGGCATAGGCCACTTAAAACCAATATTATGGGGCCTACATATCAGTGAACCAATCCTATGGGGACACACCAACAGTTAAAGGACCACCTATTCCTGACCACTGCACTCTGTAAGCTGTGCTGTGCATTACATACTCCCAGCACTCAGACTGTTTCACTGTATGCACTATATTTTACAGTAAATAATCCTGATTGTTGTACTCCATTCACTACTTAGTCCTTACTACTGCACTCTGTATATTATGAACTATTTTACAAAGTCCTGATAGCTTCACTCTATATGCTCCATAGTCCTGAAAGTTGCTCTGTATATGCTATGTTGTAGGTTATATGGTACTGAACCCTGAGATTTATGCATTGTGTTGTATTTTATATAGTCATGACCGCTGTACACAGTGGTGTATTTAGGTTTTGTGCTGCCCTAGGCGACACAAAAAATTGTCTGCTCCCATGGACACTGACCAACACAACATCCCCTTCCCCCTCCCACGGAGAGAGCCTAACAGTGACCAACAACATCCCTGCCCCTCACACAGGAGAGCTTTCCACTACCTCCCATTGGTGATAGAAAGACATTCACCTTTACAGTTCCGGACATCCCTGGGAAAGAGAGCCAGGCTCTACATACACCATCAAGCAGCCCTCAGCCTCTCTCAGATCCCACCTGGTTCCCATGGTGCGCATGTCCCTTTTTTTATCCCTTCTTCTGGGGGAAGGTGCTGCCCCCCCTGAAAAATCCTGCCCTTTTCAAGTGCCTTGTTTGCCTTGTGGTAGATACGCCCCTGGCTGTACACTGTATGATATGTACATCAGAGACTGTAATCATGGCAGCGGGGTATCCATACAGTGAAAGAACAGGTTAGACATTGAAAGCCTGCCATTTTGGTGCACCCTGAAATTATGGGTGCAATTTTCCAAAACACTTGAATTGAAATTTAATCCTATTTAAAGTGTTTGTAAAGTCAAAACTTTGTGTTTTGGATAGAGTAGAGAATGGTTATGACCCTTGTTTTGTTTTTTTTTTTATTTTGGTCTCTGTCCTATGAGAAAGTAAAGTAGAGATCTCTCTAAAGTGAGAGGAATCCCTTCTTAGACAGCCTTTTAGCCAACTGGAACAGATGTTCCCATTAGGATATTTTTCTTTACCTTCTGTTTCTGGGTCAACTCAAGACATTTCCCATCATTTTCTTTACCAGAGACAATGGTCACCAGGATCAATAGTGAACAATAATCTCATTTAGCAGGACTACAGACAACAATAAAAAAAAATAGAGGTTCTAATCCCTCAGAATGTAGTGTCCTTAGTGGTGCTTGATAAGTCAGGTCCTGTGCTAGGGGGCCTATGTATAGAACATGGGTGGTATTGTGTCTAAGACCCAACCTACCCCATACCAGCTCTATACTTCCAGGCCAGAGACTTACCAGGGGCTAACATGAACTCACACTCCAGACAGGAGTCACATACGCTAACAATTTGTTGATATCTGGTCAGGTCCCTCAAGAACCACACCATACACCAAAAATCTGCAGGGTCACAGGTTTCTGGGTGCGTGTTTGTTACAGGACGTAGCAACACCACCTGGCAGCCAAACCTTTTTCTACCAACCTCTTCCATCCTCCCCAACTGAAACAAGTCCGTACTCACTTCTTAAGGCATAGGACACTCACTGACCAGCAGTAAAGAAGAGACGAATCCATCTTCTTCTTTTTTTTTTCTTGCTTTACTGAAACATAACTGATAACATGGCTGTCCAAATTTTACATGGCAATATCCATTTTAGAAGAGTAATTTCCATCTTTTGTCTAAATGAGGTACACTAAAAATTTGTATGCTTCCTAAGCTTATCTTGCTCGGGGAAAAGGTTTCCACAGTGTATCCTATCAGGGAAAGGCCAGTATACAGTGTTCCTACATCTTGACACAGAAGGCCCTAATTTTTCCATAGTTGCCTGGGGCAGGATCTCTTTACAGTAAACCACTCACCTCCCCAACCAATCCTCTAATCACTAGCTCTATATGTACCTCTGCTCCAAAGGGAGAGGGTAACATTTCATATTTCCCTACTCAAAACCTTACTACACACATTTTATCTAAAACTTTGAAAGAAAAGTTTGAATTTACATATTTTGTAACTTTTTTTTAACAAGGGCTGACAAAACTTCCTAAGTGACAGTATGAAAAAGTGTAGTACTGTTTTATGGAGACATCTGGGGAATAAATAGACCATGATATCTCATGAAGATTGAGAACCAGATTCCTTCTCCATTAGCACCTAACCCAGCAGTGACCTTATATTATAGTCAAAAGAAGATCAGTTAACACAAGGCTCATTCAGGGATCTCCCTGCTCATTTTTCTGAATGTGAACACGAGAAATGAGATGGTCATAAAAAGAGCCTTTTTGATTTAAATTTCTAGAAGTGAATGGTTGCTTTGTAGTAATAATGTTTAGATAGCCATTGGCATAGAAAAAGGTGCAGCCATGTATTTAATATGTCTTTGGCAATCAAAGGTAAATTCTGTGGTTGCACAAATGTTGAGTACACATTCACACAACTGAAATTAATCTGCACAGCTTGCCCTATATTCTATTGATCAAATGTCACCTTTGTACATCATGCTACCTGAACAGCCTATTTCCTTTTCATAGTACATTAGAATGATGATCTTACCGTGACCGATCTTTACAAGACCCACAGAAATGATCATCAGGAGGGCCATAATCTTTGCATATGTAAAGATGTCTTGAACTCTTGTTCCCCATTTAACGTGGACACAATTAATGAATGTCAAGGTGCCTAAAAGGGAGAGAAAATAACAACAGTGTCTACCTCCTCACATCCAAAAATCATAATAAGTTGTCCTCTTGAATTTTTATGGAACACTTCTATGTTTGGATTGCAAAGCCAAAGTAATGTAGTAAATATAAAAAATCATACTACATGCAAATTATATTTTACAAACTATAATTAACTCCCTGAAAATGACTAAATACAAAGTAACAAAAACACACATAGGAACTTTAATATCTACCAAGTAAAGATTATAGATAACGTTCTTTTATTATGACTGCCTGGAATGCCACTTTTTTGTTTCCAAAGACTCCATGATGCAATGCAAGCTTTCAATGCTTTCCCCAGTGAGCTGACAAGAGGTTGGGCTTACCCTTAATGGAAAGCCTTAGGTTTCCACTATAGCTGCCAGGTGCTGAAGCCGCTCTAGACTGATATCAGTCTAGAAGTTGGCTTCTATAGTAGAGCTGTACAGTCATGAATAAATGTAGTGTTACAAAAAATCTTCTATCATGTGTCTGTGTTTGTTGCAGCCCTGGATTTAGATTGTACTATCACTCATCATTATGTAGTAGTAATAGAGAAGGTGAACAAAGCCAAAGTGGTTGATTTACTGGAATATAGTTAAATGAGGCAAAGTGCACTGCAGTGAGAAAAACCTTGCTTTTCAAAAATCCTAGGATGTGTAATGATATTTAAAAATTAGGAATAAGCTTTGATCCTTTAAGCGGACATTAATTAACTTAAATTCACTGCATGTAATTGCAAACCCCCACATTTCAAGGTTTTGAAATTGTAAAAAAAACTGTTGCAGTTCCCTGAAGTAAGTATCCATCATAATGCTTGCAATGGCAAGCACCCAATGGTCAGTGCAGCAACATGACCATGCTGAACAATGGGAAGTGCAGCTAAGCTTTCTTATTCCAGTATGGTGCCATAGAAGAGAGAGAAGCATTTTTCATTGGTCAGTGTGACCAATGAGCACTTTCCATTACAAATATCATGATGGATACGCTCTCTGGGGCTCTGTATTGCAGTGTACGGACTGCTACACCAGCAACATGGGATATCACAGCAACTATGTGCAATGGGGTCTGGAGGGGTGACCAGGATACTAAATGTCAGTTCACCTTTTTATTTTTATGTGGAAAAAGGTGAACTTCCCCTTTTAAATATATCACTGAAAGCCATTTGTTATACTCTTTCAATGAGTGCAATAAAATACCTGTTGATCACATAACAATTTAGAGTTGTCCTGCAAACACTTCCATGTTATCTCAAGTCACTGATCACAGTTGATGCAGTATAGAACATAAATTGTGCAATAAAGGTAAATGAAACAAAGCAGTACGAATGAATACTTACATACACAGGCTGCAGCTATTAATCTAACAGCTGCATATGGAGGTTCACAGAATGGAAAGATTGGCTGAACAATATAATTGGCAAATGTAATTGCAATAATTGCTTGTGTCGTAGGTTCAATTATTAATAAGGATGACCACAGTCTGATGAAAGCAGTAAATCCTCCAAAAGCCTCCAGTATATAGGCATAGCTTGCTCCAGACTTTATGACAGATGTCCCAAGCTCTGCATAACACAGTGCTCCAAACATGGAAAAGATGCCTCCTAATGTCCAGACAATAAGGGACAGTCCAAAAGATTCACTGTACATTAGAACACCCTTTGGAGATACAAATATCCCAGATCCAATCATGTTCCCAACTATTAAGGAAACTCCATTGAACAGTGTGATCTCCTGTTTCATTTTCATTTTGTCTTTCCCATTTTTCAGATTTTCTATGCTGTTATTCGTTTTCTTGATTTCATTTTTTTCACTCTGCTGCTCACAGCAAAATAAAGTCCACGGTAATGACATATTGATGTTCATCCAGGGTCAACTTGAAATGAGAAAAAAGAGGACAGAATATGAGTTCATATACCCCAGTATTTCATATGCAGCAGCACTCTAGCTGACTTCCACCAAACAATTTTAGAGGGCACCTGGATTCATGAACCCTATTCTTCAAATATTGGCAGGCAAATCAGTTATGAATAATATAGGATTTACAGCAGGTATTCTGTAGCTGTGCTTTAGGCCAAGCCTACTGCATTTTTTTCATCCATCGTAGTGTCTTTCTGGCACTGCGTTTTCACGTCCCTAGAGCCTGCCCCTGAGGACTTCATCAATGTAATCAGAAGCAGGAGTGAGTTGTGTGCTTACCAAAGCACTGATAGGTTCTTTTAAGGCTAGAACAGAGTGCCAAAGCACTGTCACATTTGTGGGAATTGCTCAGTTTCCTCGAATTGGAAATTATAGACTAGAGATCTTTTTTATTGATTACTTTTACACATTAAATCAGCCTTTTACACATTAAGCCAGCCTTTCTCAAGGTTCCGTGGAACCCTAGGGTACCTTCTGTGGCTGACAGGAGTTCCTTGAGCAGTGAGCAAGGCAAATTGATCTCTTATCTGATCTGAACATCAATGCAAGGGGACAATTTTCCATTTGTCACCTAAGGCAGCTCTTATAAAGAGAGACACCACATTTTTTTTTACTGTTTTTGTTACTTTTCTGTTAATTTTATTAGTTTATTAAAAAATAATTTTGCTATTTAGTACAAAGGGGTGTAACTCTTAAAATTAATTGATTGTGCTAATTTTCTTTGAGCTGTATGTATAGTACTTTTTAGCAGGGGTTTCGCAATACCTGAAACATTTTACAAGGGTTCCTCAAGGGTAAAAAGGCTGAGAAAGGCTGCATTAACTTTGCTAAAAAATCCTGTGATATAGCCTTAAAGTTTTAAAGTAGTATTAAACCTTAAAAGTAAAACTGTCCATCACATCAGGCTCAACAAAATTAGTGTAAAATAATTTTTGTGCCCCAATCCTTACCTTACTTACACCTATGTGACTCGGAAACGAGTGCAATACCACATGCCTTCCTGCAGCACGAGAAAACGCAATGTGCCCTAGCAAGCATGTCATTCATTTTTAATGGCACCCCAAATGCACCAGCCAACACATGTGTGCTAAATTTCACCACCGTGCATGGTAACTTCTTGCCATGTGTTGTAGTATGATGCAATTTAAGAAAACGTGCCCACATTTCTTTCATGCAATTGTCTTGCGCAGTGCAGCCCATTGAAATAAATAGGCTGCTCAAATTGCAATACACCAAAATGCACATAAAACTTTCACAACCTGTTGAACCTGCATAAATGTGAGCCTTAATCCCGAATGATCTCAGAAGCAACTCAAACTGATATCAAACTAATGCCATCAACACAAGCCCAAAGCCCATCAACTTTATTGCTGTACGTGCCTTTTGGTCCCTGTTACCTCCATTTTCCTCATTTTTTTGCCCTGGTGACCCACAAATAGAGCAATAAAATCCTGATCAAGGTTCCAAACCTTCCTTACTCTTTAAAATTAAAAACATTTCTGACTGCGTTCTGCTGCGTTCAGAATGAAGCTTTCATTACACTGTATCTTCGAAGTAGAACTAAAGGCAAAACTTTTTTCATTTTGAATAGAGTAAGAGAGGGTTATATTTTGGGGAGATTTTGAGGAGATACTCCTCACTTCCTACCTGATAGCCACAACAGGAAGTGAGAGGAAATAACTTGTTGTCACTAAGGTCACCAGAACAACTGTCCACCCCCATTATTTATGTTCTGCCAACATTTGGGGTTTTATTTCCCTTTTACTTTTGGTGATTACAGTAAACAGGATACATAGAAAGGGTGAATCTCCCCAGACAGCAATGAAAAGCTGATACTGTAGGTGTTTTAATCCATTTTCACTCTATCCAAAACTAAAAAAAGTTTTCACTTTAGTTATACTTTAATTCAGGCAATACAATGATAAATTACAACATGTATTTCTTGCAGACAGATTTTCTCCTGTAAAGGCATAGTCTAAAACAATCAATTGATAAAAAAAAGAAAATTTATATGCAGTATCCCTTCTATTTACATATATGGAAGATGACACTGTACGCATTAAAAAAATATGAAATCTACATACCTTTTCCCATAGCTGATACACACCAGTCATGTGACTTTCCTCAGTTCTTTCTGTTCTTCAGAGAAACATTGGTGGGAGGAGCTTCTACTGAGTTAACAAACGTACAATAATAGCTGGGAAAAGGGGGGGGGGTTTACAGTCAAAGTCTGCTCCAAACCCCTTCAGCCTATCAGGGCAGCACAGTGACTAAATGGTAAGCACTTCTGCCTGGCAGTACTAGGGTCGCTGGTTTGAATCCCAATCACGGTACCACCTGCTGTTATTGATTGATTAGTAATGTGCCACTGCCTGCTCTGTAGAATCTCCAGCTGCAGCGGGGACACAGACAAAGAGGAAGGGACAAAGAACAGCAGGATCCACCAGTTTTTTTGCAGAATACAGAAGATAAATTCTATAGTGGCCAAAAGTGAGTATGATCAGCTTGCAATATAGCATTTATTGATAATTTTATTGGTGTGGGGTTAATGACACTTTAATAAATGCGCCAACAATAATACATTTAAAAATATGTTTATGTTTACAACCTAAATATAGGCATAACATGAAACATGGTCAGAAAGGTGGCAAAGGTCTTTAAATATTCTTTTTCTGTCTGTCTTTCTATCTGTTTATCAGTCTGCTAATCTCTTATTTTATCTATCTATCTATCTATCTATCTATCTATCTATCTATCTATCTATCTATCTATCTATCTAACCAGTGCATTCTTAATCTTGACTCCATAGGAAATCAGCACAGGTGTAAGTACTATAACTGTAGTGTACAGAAATGTGGGCCATGGTGCTCTATCTATCTATCTATCTATCTATCTATCTATCTATCTATCTATCTATCTATCTATTATATTCTATTTTCTGCTCTCCTTGGTAATAAAAGCATAGCTGTAATATCTGCAATGTGATCCTGCAGATATGACTGGTACTTGGCATGTAACTCTGGTATTGCTTCACGTGCTTCTTAACCGGCCTTCATCTCCAACTGTAAACAAGTCAGGTCTTTCAAGTTTATTCCCACCAGGAGAATTTTACAGTTTTCCCCATTTCCAAAGTTAGATTTTTAGATTTTAATTTCTAATTGGTATATGATTAATTGATGGCATGGCTGATTTCGAATTGCTGGTATTATATAATTAATTTTTAATAGTTTGATCTATTAGAGTTTTGCATCATTACTTTTAACATTTAGAAAAAAAAAACTAGTAATGTTTATACCTATGTAGATAGAAATATATCCTAAGCTACAAAGACGTTGTCATTCACTGACACAAGCTGTTCTGCAATCTCTTTCCCAACTCTTTCCCAACCAGGTTCAGTGTGATCACTATACAATGACAAAAATATCAAGTAAACATGAAGGGGATGCAGACTTTTCATTGCCCAGCGGTCTCTGCCCTGTTCATAGCACAGTAAAACACTAAGCCAATATCCGCATCGCTAAATAACAAGTCAATTCTCTCTAGCAAGGTTTGGATATTTAGAAGACTATCAACTGGCTTATTTTGAATTGCATAGTATATGTTTGTCCCTGGAGCTAAGACCATTACCATATACTAGTCGTTCTTTTGTATGTACTACTAAAAAAAATGCATAAAATAGTGGCATGAATTAAACAAAGATAACCATCTTTTAAAACCATACAGTCTAAAGAAAAATATAAAGATTGCCAAACTAAGAATAAAATATAACCCTAGCATGTAGACTGTGTTGGTTCCCAGTGCTGCTTGTAGACTTATTGTGCCACCCTAAATTTTTGACCCTTAAGCTGGCCATAGACAGTCCTTTTTTTATTAATTCAGCCAGCTGTACGGATGAAAAAAAAACAAAATAGATTCTTCCATCCACACAAACAAGATAGAAAGAGGAATCCCTCTCAATCAGATTTCGTATCCTTACAGCAGGACTCACCACTGTCAGAATACACTGATTGGCTGCAGCCACTGATTGAGAAACATTTTGCTGTGACAGAAGAAACATGTCCCTTTGACAGGAATCAATAAAACGATCAACTTTTGTTGAGTAGAATCAGTGTATAGCCAGCTTAACACTAACTTTTCATCTTCAAGCACTGAGCTAATGTTACCTATTATTAATGAACCCCTGAATAATGAAACTTCAAATCATGCTCTAGGATTTTACAAATCCTTTTGCAAAAAATGGTGACCCAGCTTGTAAAGCACCATGGCCCACATTTCTGTACACTACAGTTATAGTACTGACACCTGTGCTGATTTCCTATGGAGTCAAAATTAAGAATGCACTGGTTAGATAGATAGATAGATAGATAGATAGATAGATAGATAGATAATTAAATATATTTATCATATATAATATTTAAAGACATATACCACCTTGTGCCTTGAGTGTTTATTATTTTATTTGTAATTTTACAATATATATGAAACTATAACAATCTGCATTTCAGTATATCTTACAGAACCAAAATATCACATTACATCTCCAGTATAATGAAATGAAGATAGATAGATAGATAGATAGATAGATAGATAGATAGATAGATAGATAGATAGATAGACAATGTAGCAAGACTAAGTGATTAACATAATATTTTAATGTTACAAATTATATTAATGTATTACAATTTGCATTTCAATACATTTTATGGGACCAAATATCTACTTACCACTCCATTATAATAAAGAGCGTGGATAGATTTAAGCAGAATGCATTGATTACATTAGTATCACATAGGTGGATAGACATACTGTATATGTATATATATATATATATATATATATATATATATATATATATTCAACAAATAGATAACATTTAGATAGACCGATAAATAATGAAGTGCATATAAAATAATCCATATAATATTTTATGACATCAGTTTGGACTT